ACATAGAATAATTTAGGATGAAAAAGACCCTAACGAACATCGAGTTCAACCATTCACTCGGCACTGCCAAGTCCACCTCTAAACCATGTCCCTAAGCACCATGTCTACACATCTTTTAAATTCCTCCAGGGTATTTAAGAAGGGAAGGGTTGTTCATAGACACTAGAAACTTCCTTCATCTTCCTGCTTTTTAATGTGCTAGATGTTAATATAGTGTTTTCTCTTTAGGGAGAATGAATAAGGAGACCCACCTTCTCACAACGGTACTCTCCAAAGCGGACGCCGCGAATGACCTGGTGGTAAATGAGATCGGTGCTGACAGGATCCTCCCGGGAGTTGTGCCAGGGGGTGAAGATTTCCTTCCGGAAGTAGAGTCGCCAGGGCGCATTGCGTTCGTGCGTGCCCCGCTCCTTCACCAGCTGCTCACACTGGGAGATGGCATCCAGGACGTGATCTCGTCCTCCACCCAGTGACCACACCTAGAACAAAGGGACACCGGCATGCCTGCTTTGGATCTGAGTGAAGGACGACAAACCCAAACCCAAACAGCAAAAAAACCTTGAAAAAGTAAGCAGATGGATGTCTAACTTAAACTAATGTAAATGTATTTGTAAATGTGTGTATTTTTATGCAATGCGATGGTATTTGGAAAAAATAAGTTGGAAGATGAGACAAAGCAGCTCTGTTCGTCAGGAGGAATCCTCAATGAGGCTGGGAGGAGAGAAGCAACTCCACAGAAAGAGAAGGGAGCTTTCAATCTGTCTTTCTACACCTTACCTTATCAAACACAGCAATGTAGAGCGAAAAGCCAAACACATCCTTCAGTTTGGTTTTATCTGCTATGAACTGACAGATCTCTTTGGCAGTGGAAGCAGAGTCTGCTGGGACAGTGATGCTTTGGCCATTCATCAGGGTGACATTAAACATAATCGGTTTCTTCTGCTTTGTTGCCTGTAAGTTAGAGTAAAAGGAGAGAAACAGATTATGGGCAAACCTTACTTTTCTGCAAAGAATGAAGAAGGCATTTAGATTGAAGAGCTCCACACGCTGTACATCCTAGTCAACAATCTTTAAGTGAATCTCCAATGCCCACACAGTTTCTTCAATATATGGTGAGCCTTAAGTATAAATTACATCCCTGGAGCAGCACTGGACTCAAGTTCTCTCCTCTCTGCAGCTCCAGGGAGCTGATTATCACATAACAGTGTGGACTGATAGACTTTTCGTAAGCCTTATCTGGCCTAATGACCTTTGGGTACAGCCTTAAATGCATCAGCGGAAAGATGGCCTGTGGCAAGCACTTTCCCTGGGGAGCTGTGTGTTAGGCAATCGGGTCACTCAGATTTAGGAGGGAAATGAGCTGAGATCTTCACTTGAAGAGGGTATGTGTGTGGGCATGTGTGTGTGTGACTTCTGATTACTAGGGTGACATTTAGAGGAAGGGGGAGGGCGATATAGCCCTATCATACACACTTCCTCCCTCCATTTTAAAAGCATAAGCCCTGCTCAGTTCTTTGCACAAATCTTGGTAAGAGCTTCCCTCAGGAGGTGGTTCTGGCCTGTGGCTCCTGAGTCGATAGAGGCATCTCCCTGAAAATTATGGGTTACAGCTTTTAACTTACATCCTCCACTGGATTTAGGTTAACTAAATAGCCAGAAGAGGTGTATCTAAGAAGCTGCACAGACCAAGGCAGCTGGTCTTCAATCCCCTTGTGCAATTGATTTCTGTTATTGGATTTAGGAAGATCTGTTGCCACAGGTTAGTAAATGCAATCCAGCATAAAATGGCACAGATCAATATAATTGAGCAAGAAGGGAGTTGCTACCTGAAGTTCCAGCCAGCTCGGAGGTTCAGTCCGTGCTCCGTTGACATAGGTACGTCTCAAACGTTCAGCACAATATGGGGCATAGCCTGGGGGGCCATGGTGGATGAAATTCAACAGGTACTACATGCAAAGAGCACAGGAAAGAGTTGGGAAATATTAATCCTCATAAAGCATTAGAAACCTTCTGCAGCTGACATGCTAGATTAGAGGGATCAGTTAGCTTACAGTTCACCAGAAAGTATTAAAGGTTAGGATTGGAATTATTCTTTTGGAAAAGGAGGTTTGAGACACCAAGTTTTCCCTAATTCTGCAGAGCTTTTAGTCTAAAGAGAAAGATCATGTTTAACTATACGATAAATAGACAGTGGAGACTTTATTCTTATGATTAGGTTAGAGCAAGGGTCAGTGTTTCCAGTTGAACAGCCTGAAGCCTTGTTACATTCTGTATGAACAAATTGCTGGGAGGAGGGCTAATTGCAGTTTAGGACTGATGATGATTATTGGTTACTTTTAGTTTTACTAAATTCCCTGGCAATATCAATAGTTGAAGTCCATGATTAGGATTGGACATTGGAAGAGAAGGATTGGATAACTTGAGCGTTTGGAGTTTGTATGGCTCTGATATCTTGATTGACATGGTGTAACCATGGGCTTATATTTGCATACTTTTATTTAGTGCAAGCATGAGCCAGTCACCTGGTTATTTTAATGACTAAAAATATTCCTAGAGATAGAGTATTGTCATGTCTTTCATGAGTTCTGCATGGTTCACAGTCTTTGCACTGGTGTCAAAATATGTCTATTGCTTGTGTCTCGTTTGTTCCAAGGAGTGTCCATTTAGCAGCATTTATGATGAATCATTTAGGCTAGGGCATCAATAAAGTAAGGCTGAAGGTTCAGGTGTATACGATAAATAGACAGTGGAGACTTTATTCTTATGATTAGGTTAGAGCAAGGGTTAGTGTTTCCAGTTGAACAGCCTGAAGCCTTGTTACATTCTGTATGAACAAAAGTGCTGGGAGGAGAGCTAATTGCAGCTTAGGACTGATGATGATTGGTTACTTTTAGTTTTACTAAATTCCCTGGCAATATCAATAGTTGAAGTCCATGATTAGGATTGGACATTGGAAGAGAAGGATTGGATAACCTGAGCTTTTGGAGTTTGTATGGCTCTGATATCTTGATTGACATGGTGTAAGCATGGGCTTATATTTGCATACTTTTATTTAGTGCAAGCATGGGTCAGTCACCTGGTTATTTTAACGATTAAGAATATTCCTAGAGATAGGGTATCGTCATGTCTTTCATGAATTCTGCATGGTTCACAGTCTTTGGACTGGTGTCAAAATATGTCTATTGCTTGTGTCTGGTTTGTTCCAAGGAGTGTCCATTTAGCAGCATTTATGGTGAATCATTTAGGCTAGGGCGTCAATAAAGTAAGGCTGAAGATTCAGGCATATTCTATGGATTCTGTTTGCCTCTGAGATCTAGGAGGAAGGCTGACGGCAAGTTAGAGCCACAGGTTGCTGGTTTTATTTTCCTGTGGTGAAGTGGATTTATCAACTATTTAAACTTGGGAATTAATGAAGGATGAAAAAGCCCAAATCTCTATCGTATTTTGTAGGGCTTGGAAATGTAGAACTGGTAAAATATGGGGGATGATTTTATACTGGCCTCCTGAGTACATTTAGTCATTAGGATTGTAACTGGAAACAACTTTTAAATGTTAGAAAGGCAGAACTGAAGAGGTTAAAATTTGACAGATTCTTTGCAGATTACAGACCTAAAATGAGGGTTGTGATCAACAACAGAATCCAACTTGTATGACATGTAATGAAAAATAATGAAATGTGAGTACAGCAATGGTTTATTTAAATTCCCAGATAAGCAGATGAGATGAGATAGTTTCTGCTAAACTCACAGCACCAGCTGCTATGGCAGCCAAACAGTTTATGTGACTCTCTGTACCAAAACATCAAAATACACAAGAAACCAGACAGCTAAGGCGTTCGAGCTGCTGTCGGAAAGGTTAGTAGTGTACCTTCACAAATGTGTCTGAGGGAGGAAAGCAGCCAAGGCAAAGTGACAGAAGGATCCAGCCTCGGGCATAGCTGCTCCTGTTGCTGTTTTCGGTGAGTTGTTTGCAAATCTGGCAATAAATCTCATCTCTGTAACAGAACATGTGAAAGCAACAGATAATGATTCACTGGCTGAAGTGTCTTTGGCTATGTTTCCACTGCAAGCTTGGCATGACTGCAGCATGATGAAGTAGATCTGAGCCAGGTTTAACCCTGTTAGCAAGGATACCACCTGTAATGTACCCCAGGAAATAACTGTGTCATTGGCTTTGGAAGGAAAAGGCTCAAAGTTACCTAGCACCCTTTGCCACCCCTTGTTACTTAAGCAGTTCAAATGCAATTCTCATGCTGGATTGCCTCCTGTGACAAGCAGGGGGGACTGTGCAGAGCTAACAACCACTGGGTCATCCAGCTGTGAAATGGCATTGCTGTCCCTCCACGTGTCAAACTTGCTCTAAGCTCTCTGTAGTGTGTGGCTTGTACCTTATGGCTCTTGTCTGTCTGCTCATACGTGGATTTTGGGATAAGGATAGGGGGACACCCTGCTTACTTGTGTATTTTTAGTAAACCTGGAGTGAGTCCTTGAACAGGAATGGAGGAAAGGGTGCTTCAGAGTGAGATTCTGAAAAGGCAAGTTGGCTGCAGCAAGGACATGTGGGAAACAGATTGAAAAAAATGCATACAAACAAAACTGCTGTTTAAAAACAATTTTAAATTATCTGGACTCTTAGAACACACATTTGGCAAGTCTGTTGTGGGAGGACAGAAGGTGGATGAGGTTTTTGTTTCCAGATAAGACATGTGATGAAACACAGACTGAGGGAGAAGATATGTAGCCTGTAGCTGTTATGATACATTGACGGAAGGCAATTTTTGCCAGCTGAGGATCTACTTCAGGGTACATCTTGACTGAAAAAAAGCAATTCTGTGGAGAGGAATGCAGTCCGTGACTGAGGTCAAGGCAGGGCCTGTGTCTATGGGCTTTGTTACAGAAAAGTGTTGCATAAGCTAAAATGGGCTAAAATGGAGGAGAGAATTCATGGCGTCAGGTCAGAACCAGCCAGATTCTGTCTTATCCTCACACCATGCTTGGCCTAGGGTCCAGTCTGATATACACAGACCTTCAACCATCTCTGATTTGGGGACGTTGCTTGAGGGCTCAACAACAGGCCATTGCGAAACTGAGGTTATGAACACCTCTCATACACCTAGTATACATCAACTCCATATTTCTTACTTTTCTGAGTCTTTATTCTCCCTCATACTGCGTTCCACCTACAGGTGTTATTGGGTTACAGCCCTGAGCTCTGCCCCACTGCATATCTGTGATGTATTCAAAAAGCTACGTATGGAGGCAGATGACCTAATCTACAGCATGAAGATACCAGAAAAGGCAGTAAAGGAGCCATTTTCTGTCCCCTCTGATAAAGGTGAACCATCCTCCAAAGAGCTGTGTGGCTTACAGTTTTCTGTGGTTTGAGTTTTATGTTAGGAATCACCAGAGAGAAATGTGAGATGTTTCCAGCATTTGGAAAATACTCCAGGACTGTGGAAAGGGGATCCTGGATTTCCTTGATACGATGGGTGCCTGGTTCTAGAAAGGAGGTACAAATTTCCTACCTGATGGCAGGACGCAGAATTGCATTGCCAATAATGAAGTGCACTTTTTCTAGGTTGGACATAGGTCTCTCAGAGATAGAGCTGTCCTCTTGGAAAGCCTCTTCTCCACTTCTCAGCTGGTTTGCCACCTGAAAGAAGCCAAGCAGAACCCTAGAGTACTCTAGAAACCTCCTTTCTCACCAGGAAGCTCTCCCAGAAATGAGACATTCGTTCTCTCTCTTTCCTGCTAAAACTCCTCCTGCTCATTGCAGGAGCAGTTAGGAATAGGCTGTATTTCCCCCCTTCCCTCTCAAGCTAACTCATAAAATGCAGAGTTACAGCACTATTACTGGCGAGGAGAACTTTCTTGTACTGGCCTGTACAGCCCTAAGCACATGGTGTGGGTCTCAGTCTGCTCAGGGCTTTGGGCAAACTGCTCCATAATGCCAACAATCCTCACTAATACATTGTTCCCTGTGTTCAGGAGTCACTCTCCAGCAGGAAGGGATGGACTTAACCTGCTAAAGAATGAATGACAGCAGTGCTCATGGGGACAGTTTCAAAAGAAGAACTGCACCAGGTATTGCACATGCAGGGCTGCGCTGGCTTGGCAGGGGAACAAGTTCTCAGCTGGGAGGTTGCTGTCACATAACATCTGTCAGAAGGCAAAGACAGGTTTCCAGGTAAGAAGACTTAAGGGAAGTGATTTATTTCCATCTCTTACCTTCCCTGTCAACTTGGATGACCGTTTCAGCTTCAGGGAAGAGATCCCCTTTGAAATCTTGTTATCCTTTCTGCTTTCTCTCTACAACACACATTATCATTATAAGAAATTAGTTTAAGGCACAGGAAGAATGTTTCATAAGGACGGAAGATGCTCAAATGGAGATGTTTTTGTTTAGTTCCCTCCTGACAGAGGAGCTGCAGTGTCCTTCCAGGACTGACAGAGGCCCTTTTGCACTTCTGGCATTTCAGTAACAGTAGCATGAAAGGGGTTCTTTTGCTTTTCTCACTCTTGGTACAACAGCACAGAAACCAAGGAAAGCAAATGAAAATACAAACATAGCCTCTCACCATATTTGGGCTGTCGTTCCTGAATTGGACCTGGTTTTTCCTGCCAAGTGTGTCATATAGCTGTGTCATCACAGAGCCGCTCTTACTGGTGGCATTCTTGGCAAACATTGTTGGCTCTGGCAGGTCCCCCATGAACCTCAGGATGACAACCCACACAACTAGAGAAGCCTGTAGTGAAAGAAAGCACAGTCAGACACTGCCAAGAGAACCAATGGCCTCATGCCGTTTCTGCCTGTTTATATCAGAGCGTTTTCTTCCTTCACCCAGTCCAAATTGTTAAAATTCCCATTTCCTCCCACCACTTACACCAGGAGTCTACTTTCATGTCAAACAACATGAGAGCAGCACTCACAGCACTCTCATGTTAAAGAAAGAGGATTCAGCTCTGGTGGGAATGTCAGATTTGTTCTGTGATTGCTGAGCCTTCACCATTCCCTTTTCTGGCACCTTGCAGGTGTGCTGTGTCTGGGGTGAGGTGGAAAACCTTGGCTGAACTGCACTCAGCATTTACCCACCTGGGCAGATAAAAAACTCTTCCAGGAGCCCTCATGCCCAGAACTAAAAAGCCAAGTAATAGCGAAGTTTTTGCAGCATGGGATCCTCCATTCTGCAAGGCTTCTTCGTGTCAAGAACTCCCCTCTCAACATCCTTATGGTTCAACAGGAAAACTAGAGGCCTGGGCCTCCCCCTTCTGTCCTCACTCAGACCAGCAACCCTAACAAGAGCAGAGAGGTGGGTGAGCTCTGTTGCTGCTTCGTTCTGGTTTGTTTTTACCCCCAAAGACTATCTGGAGAAGTCAAAACAAATCTGAGAGTTCCCTCTTTAGGCAGACTAAAGGTGACCAGAGATGTTGGGTTGGGCAGGTATCTGTGTAAAGTGCCAAAAAATGCTGCTGGGAACTACTACTTTGTGCTTAGGACTATCTACTTGGCTCCGAAGTATCTGGTTCCCAGAGCTGTGCCAGAGGCTGGGGGACCTAAAGATGAGGGGAGCTGTAGAATGAGCTGTGGAGGGAGCAGGTTCAACATAAGGAGCAAGATACCAGGATGTTGTCCTTGTCATCATGGTAGAGTAGTGGGTGCCGCAGATGTCTCCGAATATGTGTATGTGTAGATGATCCCTGGAAATAAGTAGCTGCAAACTTTGGGAAGGTGTACTCTTCCAAACCATCTGCTTCCTCTTCTAGCTCCACACTCATGGGAACCATGTCCAGGTCCACCTCGTCCAGCTTGCTAGGCTTTGTTTCCAAGTCCTGTGCAGAACATGAGGAAGAACAGAACATAAGGAAGAAGCATATTTTCTTTCCCTCTACTCTGATATTTTTATTTTGTGTTCTTTTTTTTTTTTTTCCTCTTGGCCCTAGGTCCTCCTATATTTTTATTTTGTGTTCTTTTTTTTTTTTCCCTCTTGGCCATAGGTCCTCCAGAATTTGGCTTTCCAGCTAACCCCAAAACCATTTTCAGCTGCTACCAACAGGTCACTGGGGCTCAGCTTGTCTTTCTGAGATGCATTGACTCCATATAACCTTCCTGCTTTGGTCTTCAGCAAGAACATTGCTGATCAAAAATCCAGGTGCTATCTCATTGCTCACATCCTGCACTAAGCAAGACCATTCTACTTTGCCTACCTCTCCCTACATGATTCCATCCTCCACAGCTCTCAGGACCAGTATATCTCAAATTTTGCTTTTAAGAACGTGGGATAACATGGGTCATGAACTTCCAGCTTGTTTCAGCTGGAAAATTGCTGGAAGCACTGTCAGCAGAACATGTGGTTGGTGCCAAAATGCAGAAAGGGGCATTATTTGGTGAGGGTCTATTGGCCCAAAGAAACAAATGTGCAGTAGCTTTTGAAGACACATAGTCCCCAAACTGCATGTGACCAAAAACATTTGGGAACTGACTTCTGAAAGCAAATCCTGAAGAGACTGTCTGGATGATTTGGGTGACACTTTCACTGTACAGAAGTTCATTAAACACAATTGATGACTTATGGAATTCCAACAAAGTCAAATGAAAACAACCCATTACCAGTCTTTAGCTCTGTACCTCAAAACCCAGAGGAGCCTGTCCTTCTTGGCCTCCGATCATGGAAGGTAAAAACCCAAAAATTTTGTCCACCATTTCTTGATCGCTGATAACATCATGATTTGCTGGTTTATTGGCAAGAGCACTCCTCCTTTGTCTTTCTTCTGCCTCCTCTCTCTCCAGAGAAGCCAGGTGTTCCTTTAAACAATAGAAGCTGGTTAGGCGTGAATGGAACATCATTCAGGTAGAATGAATGGCTGTGAGGATGAAACACCACTACAAAGGTGTTATGACAGTGAGGTCCAGCTCTGCTACTGCAGGGTTGGAATGTGAAGTCAAATGTTGCTTGTCTTAAGCTGTCACAAAGACCTAGCACATCAGCAGCAGGGCCTTGCTCTTGCAGCTGTCCTTAGAGACTGTTGACCTACTGCTAAGGATGTGCAATTTTTTTAAGTACTTTATCAACAGGAGCTAATATAAGGAAAACATGGAATTCCTAACAGCAGAAACCCGCACATTAGTTAAAATTTAAAAATGTTTTGTCTCCAGGGCCTGTAATAGCATCGTGCATGTTTGGCTCAAGTGCCAGCTCATGCTGCAAACAGGAACGTGCCTTGTCTCATTCCTAACGCATTGTTACAAATGGGTTTACAACTATGTCTGCTTTTTATTAGAATATAGCAGTGCTCAGATCTTTGAGCAAGTCCACTTGACCTACTGCTAAGGATGTGCAATTTTTTAAGTACTTTATCAACAAGAGCTAATACAAGGAAAACACAGAAGGTGTGAGCTGGGCAAGCCATCTTGTTAGCTAAGGAACATAGCATTTGGTGTTCCTCTGCCAACATACTTACCTTTTCTAATTTCATAGCTTCTTCCCTTGCTTTCGCTGGTCCAAGGACTAGCATGAGACGTTTCTCTTCTTCCAAGCGGATATTCCTGGCTTCCAGCCTGTACTTGTTCTGTGGACAACAAGACTATTCTGTGACTGTTTCCACAACTGCTGAGCTGGCTCCCTTCTGCCATGAACAAAGCTGGTCCCACCAGGACTTTATCCCACCAGGGGCTGTGTTCTAGACTTGGCATTTTAGGGAAAAGGCCACAGGCAGAAATCTGCAAACTGGCTTCGTCCTGTTTGTACAGCCTTGATGCAGAAAGGAAATCACAAAAAGGCCTCCCATGTGCTATGGACCTCTGAGGTAGTCACTACAGGATCTTCTCTGGCAGTGCATACCAAGACACGCTGCATGAGGATTCCCTTTGGAATGGATCCCTAAGTGACATTATCAGGCCTTGCTGTAGAAATTGACCTTCCCTTGCAGGAGTGACCGAAACACATGCACATCTCATCTTTTCTCCTCCTTTCTGTCAAAACCGTTTCAGCTCTGCCAGTGAAGTTTTGATCCGTTCGTCTGCTTAAAACTCTGCTTTTGTACTTGACAAGAGCTCAAAAAAAAAATATCCCCAAATAAATATTCACATCCAGTGCCACGCTATGGCAACACTTAGCTGGTCATTAAATCTTTATGAAAACAACATGTTATTAATATCTGTGAGCCTACCTCCTTCTTCATCCTCTGGTAGGTTCGGCGAGCAAACATGCCCCTTGCATACGCCTGTATAACACGTACAGCTTTCTTCTGTTCTTCTATCTTTTGACGCATGAGGTAACCACGGCACACGGCCTGAAGCCTGATGATATGAGCCCGGGTTGCTCCGTACTGTTTAGCAAGCTGCCGGCTCCGGTAGAGGGCCTGCAGGCGCCCGAAACCCAGCATAACCTGCAGGAAGCAGAGAAAAAAGAAGTGATTATGGTTCAAAATCATTGAGACTGGGAGTAAATTGGGATGAGCAGAAGTCAGCAAAATTCAGAAAGTGGATAAAGCCACTAGAAGGGGCTAATGCGATACTGCCCTTTATGCTTTATTTTCTGCCGGTAAAGAGCTTTTAAAACTAGATTATATAGAATTTTTTTGACACCTGTTCTAGGGAGCGGCTCCAGGAAGTGACAGTGGTAGCCTGTGATTACAGCAAGGGAATGAAGAGAACAGAAATTAATTGAATAAAAAACAAAAAAAGGGATGTCCTTGGGGAGATGGATATGACAATCCCAAGAGAAGCAGCAGAGGAGGATGGGGCAGAGTGCACAGACAAAGCCTGGCTCTTCAGGCAGAAATTGGATCCCTGATGCAGAACAGAAAATGTTTCTGACTGGAACTGGCAGTTTTTCCTCCTGCCCCTTGCAAATGAGATGTATGGGATATATTAATAATAATTCCTGCCACACTAACACACAGTATGTGAGTGCCCTCAATATGGTGTAGCTTTCCTCACCCAGATAACCCACCGTATATAGAAGATCATCCAATATTTTTAATAGTGCAAGATTGATATAATGATTTTTCTGGTAATTTTTTACAGATTCCCAGTTTTCCTGTAACAGTTGTGGAGGACACTTTGCTCATAGCATGGTGATGATGCACAAACACTAGCCTCGGACTCCTGACGAGAAGAAGTATGGGATCATTTGTACATCAGGGCACCAGAGCCAGGCCTGACAGAGGTTAGTCGGGTTACTATTTCACCAGAGAACAGAAATGTCACAGGTTCAGCAAGCCCAGAGAGGCTTGTCCAGAGCGCAGAGCCCTCCTTAGACTTCACATCCTTCTTTACACCCTGCCATTTTGCTTCTCCTCCCTTCAGTTGTGAATATCTTCATTCCTAATACTCTGCTCAGTTTGGCAGGGCATAGTATATAATCACACAGAGAAATATATGTATATGTGTATATATGTAAAATTATATATATGTATTTATATACAACTGCATCTTACCATTCTGAAATCCTTCCGGCAGCAGTAGCCTCGCCAGGCTGACTGAATGGCTACAGCAGACTTCCTCTGCTTCAGAAACTGCTTCCTAAGCAGACAGACAGGTAAGGTGACAAAGAGTAGGTTATTTCTGCTGCTTCTTAGGAGAATAGTAAGGAATAAGGTAGTGGTTGGTTTTTTTTTCCTTTTATGGGATATCTACAATCTGATCTTATCCTTATCTGCTGTCTAGGAATCAGTACAGGCTGGAAGCCAGGAATATCCTGCATATGCCACAGCCCTGCATTTTGAAAAGCATCATGAAAACAAAGAAACTGAGCCAGAACAAATCCTTCTGTAAAATCTGCATAGATGCACTGCGCACTGTTAAATGACAAGGGCTGAAATTAGGGCTAGTGAAAGGTGTGGATTGAAGCATTTCATACTGAAAAATGCTTTACAGCGTGCTAAACTGCACCACAAAGATTACTGCTTCAAACCAAAGGAAATTCTGTTCTGTAAGACCACTGACCTGTCCTTCAGTCCTCTCATCACCTTCTGGATAATAAGAGCCTTATCTGTGAGTATAGTTTGGCGTTGCAGCTCCAATACCGTATCGTGATGATCCTGTTAAAAGAAAGCGTCAGCTAAGCAGACACCCCAAGGTGTTCTGAAAACTGGACACATGGTCTGAAAGAGGCCCCAAATCAGCATGATGTAGTGGGATTAAAATGCATTTGTGGAGCTGCAAGAGGAAGAGTGCACACCATTGGACCACACCGTGGCTGGCTGTAGCCATAAACAAGCAAACAATCTGCCTGCTGTAAGACTGTTTTTACCTGGGGCAATGCTACGGACAAGGAGGTCCCTGCAATAGTGTGCTGTATCCAGGGTTTTTTTTACAGTCAAGGCTTGGGCAGAGACAAGTACATTGCACTGTGTTGTTTTAGCTGCAACACTGGAGCAGAGAAACAGGATCAGCCTCTCCAACACCCAGCTACATCCATTAAATTACTTGGATTTCAGAAACAAATACCCAGCCTCAGATTGACAAGAGAGTTTATAAGAGAACCCAGTTCTTCTGGGTCACCGCTCTTGCACGAGCAGGTTAAGCTATACTGTGAAGCACCCAGTTTTTTTAGGAGAAGAGACAATAAGCTGCCCTTTTTACTTACTTTAAGGAAAATCTTGGTCTTTCCAGCTTGCCAGCTTTCATCCTTGCCCAGCACTGCTTCGGAGATGCTGATACAGCTCTGTCGAGCATCATTCTTCAGCTGATGTGCAAAAGCATCGTCACGTTAGGGCTCGGTTGTGAAACACAGCAGCTGTACTACATGAGGATCTATTGCTCTGCATCTCAAAGGGCAGAGAACAGACAGAGGAGGTCTTACAGACCTCTGGGCTGACAGTATAGTGAATGAAAGTGGTTCAGCTCAAATGGTCAAGAAATGGAGGAACATGACCGTATGGCCAAACATTCCAGAGTTCAAATGTGAGGAGGATGTTAGAGACCTCAGAAGTGTGTGATTATGGAAAAGAGACATCTGAGGGCAGTGGGGATGCCACCCTGCCTGGCATGTCTGTGTGGCACAGGTCAAGGAGAGCTGGACCTAAAAGCACCTCTACCATCTCAGCTCAGGTCCAGGTGAGTATGTAAATATTCGTTACAGTTACTGTGATGACAGCGCTCTCAGCTGTGCCAGCAATAACCCAAGAACTTCCTACTGAGGGAAAGACTAAAGCCTCATAAGGAAATGTTAGATTAGCCTTAGGCTGAGTTTGTGCTAACACACCTGTTCTCGAAGAGACCACGGCAGGAGAGCTCTGTATCTCTCTAAGAACTCCTCAAATTTGTAGCGAATTGGGAAGCCAGCTTTCCTGATCTGGATGGTCTCCATCATCCCTGAATATCGCAGCTGTTTGATACACAGCTCCCGGTCGAACAACTGAAAGGGAAAGCAGACAAGGAGGAGACTCAGCACTGAAATAAGCTCTACATGCAGCATTCCTCAGAACAGATCTATTAACCTCCAACCTCAGGCAACTGCCAAAGGTTCTCCTATGCTTTTCTTAATTACACTTCTTATTTCTTTAGTGCCCTAATTTAATTCCTTACAGGCATAAATAAGTCACCCCAAAAAGGCTTCGAATTTGTGTTTATTGGCAGTCGAAACAGTCTATTAACGTCAGTCTGGTTTTACCAACTGTTTTCAACTCTAGTACTGCAATTTCAGATGAACAATAAATTGTTCACATAATTTCCAAGTGTTAGGCCCTTTGGGAACAGCCACGCAAAACACAGCACGAGTGCTGCTGGTTTCTTGTAATGCAGGTTAAAAACAGGCTCACTCTGCCCCATGCACTACATTAAAAATTATTAAGTCACTTGACAAACACCATACAAGGTTTCAGTGTAGAACTGGCTCGTGATCTCCTGAACATCTTAATGACAAACTCCCCACCTCTTCTCCTGTAGTGTCAAATTAAGCCACATCACCCCTCTCAAACACCAACAGCTCTCCTTTCCTCTCTCAGGCTATTTCATAGTATGATCACTGTTGGATCCTAATGGTTTTTTGTTTATTCCCTTATTGAGGGGCTAGAAACTCTCCAGTTTTGTCTTTATCTTTACAGGAAAGGCTTTTACAACCCCTCTCAGGAATAAACCTATGTGCTTTTTTGCCATCTATTACTCTATGATGTTTTTAGAGATGTTCTTGTAAATTAACAATGCTATATCCAACCACCCTTTTTATTCTAGTGATAGCCTGCACTCCAGCTCTTCTTGGCTAAAGTACAGACATAAAACGCTGCACAGCAACTGACAGCTTTTTCTCATTAGAAAGTTTAGTGAAGACAAGACCTCATATTGTTAAAACATTACCAGTGGTTTCTTGTAGTCATTTGGTTTGATGCAGCGGATGAAGTATGGCTGGCACTGCTCGAGGATTTTCATTAGTTTTTCCAGGGATTGCCTGAACTGTCCTCCCAGAGTAGAGAGCCGTTTGGTGGTATCCGAGCCCTGGGAAGAGCAAGCACATGCTGACTGCTACATCATTCACCATCGGTGGGACAATTAATAAATCCTTGTGCCATGTAACAGTATCACACGACTGCCAGAAAAAAAAAAAATTACCTACATGGGAGCTAAATCTGCCATCTGTATCTTATTAATTTGGGGTTATTCTTGCGAGGAAACCCCACTAAGATCTTTCACCTACTTGGGCACTAAGTTCTAGCAGTGGGGGTGGCTGTGGTAGAACAAATTCCACCCACAGGAGCCCTCATAGCCCTGTCTCTTCCCACGGAGGCTGTGGTTAGTGTAGGGCCTGGGAGCCAAGCTATTATTCATGGGCGTGTGCCTGAAAGCTTGGTGAAAAACAGCTACTCCCAAAGCAGTAATAACCTCCAGGCCAGGCATTTTCCTGCCCTCTCATAGCTAACTAGGAATTCGGAAGATCCCAAACAGCTCATTTCTTAGTGATTATGATGACTGATCGCCTTGCTCATTAATACTGCAGTAAGTAGTGAAAAAGCAAACTTGTAGTGGAGGGTAATGTAAGAGCTGCTCTATTTATGGCTGCATATAAAATGCCTTATGTCTTACTGTTCCTGGGTTGAAATCTGCTCCCAGTTGCAATAGTGTAACCCCGGAGAGATCAGGCTTGGCTGCAGTTAGCCCCTGATTTCCCCAGCTTCCCTGTTCCACCTATGTCTTTCTTACACAGATCATCACAACAGGCCTAAGCTTCTCCCTCCTAGTACGTCTTAAGATCACAGTAAGTTATGGTGACAACAGTGCAGATTCCAAGCAACAAAAGGACTCTACTGGCCTTTTACATACAGGTATGGAGCTAATAATTGCAGCTAGTTCAGTTCGGTGGGCTCTGGGTTTTCTCGTTTTGTTTGTTTGGTTGGTTTTTTGTGTTGTCTTGTTATTTTTTCCCAAGTAAATAATTTAAAGTCCAGTGCCTCCCCTCGCTTTCATGGTCTTTACAGTACCTCATTCTGCTGGTTCTTATGTTTAAAGTGCCCTTTCTGCCACTCGAGTCGCCACCTTCTGCTTTAGCTACAGGGCAATGCTGCCCTCCAGCGACCAGACACTCGTGCCTTTGGAAAAGAGCTCTAGGAGTGTCTCATAGCAGCTCTGATGCATCTTTGGGCTAGCAAGCAGCTGTTTGAAGTAGGTATGATAACAGCGTATATATGTTTAAGCTGCCTAAGAGCATAAGAGTTAAAAGCAATTTGCACTCCCAGATCTTTCTGCTTTACCATTAAATCAGTGGGGTGACCACACAAGTCATGCCCTCATGATCTTATACATATAACATTGCTAAAGCTGAATTAGTTGTTGGGATGGTGGTGACTTTTTGAGACCTCAGGACAGCAAAGTTTCTTTTGGCACTTCATTCACTCTTCTTTTCTGTAGCCTTTTTAGCCTAAAAAGTAGCCTAAAAGTAGCCTTTTCTGTAACCTAACTTTTTTGGCTTCCCAACAGCGGCCCAACCTATTTGAAGTTAATAAGGGTATTTTAGCTAACTTCTGTGCATTTTGAAGTGGGCAGTAGCCCACTTTTCCTGTCTCCTTTCTTGACATGCTGCTGCACTTTCAAAATGTAAGGGAGGTTTTTTGTTTTTTTTTCAATAACATGACATTATTTATAGACAAAAACCATTAGAGCAATGTGGATAGACCTGATATTTCATCTGAAGGTATTCATAGCATTTAAGAGATGCTAAGCCAGTTCTCTGTTGCTGCTTGTACCACTTCTGACATTCTTCTCCCCCAGGATGTTTACCTGTCCGTGGCCAGATGTTCTGGACAGCAGAAAGCCATATTGTGCAAAAGACTGAGGAAGAAAGGACAGGATGAGAAAACACTGCCAGGAGAACAGACAGATAACAGGTAAGATAGCAAGCTGACTCTTTGTTCTGTACCTTGACAGGAAAACTCAAAGATCTAAACACGAAAAGCAAAAATAACTTCACACAATGATGACACTGCATAGTTAAATGCTCAGAAATCAAGGTATGTGAAAGTTGCAGCAGGGCAGAGAACTTGAACTCTGCCCCACACTGTTTCCAGTCCACTGCACTTTACAATCTCCTTTTTGCTCGTCACAGGGCAGGGCTCCATACCTCATGAGGCACAGACGATTCTGTGATAATTAGCCATCATGAACTTTGTCACAAAGCTTCTGGGCCAGGAGGGAGAGCTAAAGTTGCAGCAATATGCAGGGCAGTGAGACTGCGTCTACAAGTATCACTGGGAGCAGGAGACAGTATCTTTGTGTGACAGCACAGCTATTTGCTCCTTCGTGCTAGCCTGTCAGCCCTCTGCAGGGAAGAAAAGGCCAGGACCCTCCTGCCAGTTGCCCAGTGAGACCCCTTGGTGTTATGGTCCCAGCAGACTGGCTACCTGTGCAGTATGACAGCAATTTAGCTGAGGGCTTCTGGATAGGAACTGGCTTTGCAGAGGGGGTCTCTGGCTAGTGCCTTGTTCCATTCCAATGAGCCTTTTGAACTACAGTTTCCTCCTATTAATTTACACCCATCCATGTGGATGCAGTATGGTTGCCCAGGCAGACACAAAGGAAACCCATCCAGCTGATGACAACATGTGGGGAGGTAGCACAACTCATGCTTCAGTGACAGCCTGCAGGCATGGCCTCCTAGTTGGGCAGGGATGCAGTGCTAGGAGACAGGATGGACATTACACTTGTTTACAGCATGAACACCAGGCCCTGACCTTTCCTGCAGATTCCTTTGGAGAAATGAGTTGAATGAAAGGGACTGGGATTTGCAGAGACAGTGCAAAAGAAAGAGGAAGTCAAGAACAGCCAGAGCCTTATGGAAGGGAGGAGAAATGAGGTGTTTCAGCAACCCAGTCCCAGTAAGCCAACCTTGTAGGCCTGGTCAGCTCCAAGATGCCGGACGGTCCCACGTCCCAGACTAAGTGCAGTTGTTTCCACCTGGAAAATCTCCTTCAGGAATTTGTTTTTGGAAGAATGAACCACTTGCATTACGTTAGCACTCAGCGTGTCCCGATTTTTCTCCAGGAAATCTATATGGTGGAAACAAAATGAGCTTGTCATCTCCACAGACTGCTGGCTCTAGCACCACTCCGTCTAGCTAAAATCCACTTCATTTACAGTAACTTGCAAATTAGTTTAAAGTAATCCTCCTGACCTCCTGATCTGACTTCAGATCAACACTACCCTGGTCAGACACATCCAGGGCAGGTCATGCCCTTCTTTTCACTCTCCATATGCAGCAGACATAGGCTCACCTTTCGATTCATAAAAGACAACCCCAGCAAAGTGGTTGATGCCAAACTTGGTGTCATGGACACTCTTGGGTGGGATGTAGACGTTACTTTTGCCATGGAGGGAATTGATTTTGACGAGCATGGTGGCTTCTGTGCCCTAGAAACAAATACAGGCAAAAAAGGACAATTAAGCAGATTCCTCCTGGCCTACGCTCAGTGAACAGAAAAGTGGTGCTCAGAGACAGCAAAATCTCAAATTCTGCCCCTTAGTTGTGTAGTAGATCTGGAGGAAGATAGTGCCAGGAGTATCTTTCCTTTTACAAAGACCCATCAGAAGAGAACATATCACCAGAGCATAAGGCCTGGTATTTTAGGGCTGTACACAGGCCCTCATAATATTACTAACATCACCAGGTGTGCTGAGAATTTCCCAAATCTTTGGAGCTCTCAAGCAGAGCCCCTCACCTGCAGTCAGTTGGTGCTTCTCTTCATCACAATCTCATTCCTTTGCGGTGCACATGAAGCTCTGCACTAGGGGCAGTGAGTGCTGTGTTATCTGAGAAATCATGGGCTCCAGAAATTGTAGAGGAGATGCTTCCTTGGCCTGACTGCAGGACATACAGTGGGGACTGCTTTCTTCTTAGGGAAGAAAGGGGAAAACTGTCTGCCTGTACACGACCCTCTCAAATTGTTACCTGAGGACTATAAATGAGCTAAGGCAGGGGCTTGCTTTTCTGGACAAGCCCACATTGCCATCTGATTGCTGTACCAGCTCTCCTGCTTGGCCTCACTGTGCTCTGGAGACTTTGAAAGTGCTCTGCAGGGGTGCCTGAGATCAGATGCTACTTCCATCTCTGCTGTTCTGTTTGAGATGCTTTTGCAGAACAACAGTTCCTCACAATGGGGACATTGCTCAACTAGGTCTGTCATCCAGGAGAAGAAAGAGCAAGCTGCAGCCTAGGCCAACAGCAGAACAATACTCCAACAATAAGTGAATTCAAAGATTTCCTGACAAGCCCTTGTAAAATGATCTGGACTCCTTCCTTCTCTGTGTGGAACAGCTGTAAGAGTTTAGACTGTGAGGTACCAGGAAGAGCACACTCCAGCAGAGAGCGAAGCTTTTCTGTAGTAAGCTAATTTAAAAGGAACCTCTGTGGGGAGAAGACATCGCCTCTTGTTCTGTATCCAAAAGCCACCTTTGCACATTTCTGTGTCTAAAGCCAAGCGTTACCTGTGAGCTGTGTGAAAAGCCAGGGGTTACAGATAAAAGCAGAAATTTACCTTTGGGAACTTGCTCTCTTCATCAATGAGGGAGATGATATTCATAGGCTTGAGCGCGATGACATCCAGAGCCTGGCGGTTGTCAGTGAAGTTGATGTTATTCCAGGCAATGTGCTCTGCAAGGTATTCCTCTTGCTCCATCTTGAAGACATGGTTCACGAAGAACTGCTGAAGGTGCTCATTGGCAATGTTAATGCAGAGCTGCTCAAAGCTAGGGGGAAACAAGATGGGAACCCATGGTCATCCTTGGCCAGAGCTTCCTTGCTCTAATGTATTTGTTTATTCTCTGTATTAAATACACATCCAGATATACTGCTGGTATATTCCACAGTGCTAGTGATCATCACTAATGCACGTTGCCAATCTTAGCAACATGCAGATGCATCTTGTGCTATGATAAAGATTAGCAGAAACGAGCCAACTGATGATTGAGTGTTGCTGAGTGAGCAAGGAACACATCTTGTATGTGTTTCAAGAAACTCTAGAGATAAACAGAAACATATAGCTGTGAAAATAGCTTGACTGTATGAGTGTGTGATGTGCTGCTGGTATATTCCACAGTGCTAGTGATCACCACCACTGCATGTTGCCAATCTTAGCAACATGCAGATGCATCTTGTGCTATGATAAAGATTAGCAGAAACGAGCCAACTGATGCTTGAGTGTTGCTGAGTGAGCAAGGACCACATCTTGTATGTCTTTCACGACTCTCTAGAGATAAACAGAAACATATAGCTGTGAAAATAGCTTGACTGTATGAGTGTGTGATGTGTTTTTACTTGCACTGGGACTAGCTCTTCTGTTAGTTACTCCTTAACGCTAACCTGATTTTCACTAACTGATAATTGCTGTGGCCCACTATGTGTATCTGTGGAGTGCTCACCACAGCGAGGCCCCGTGGGGATTGCAGCCTTTGGGAAGTGCAGAAAATAATAAGAGAGAACACAAAAGATAGAAAATAGGCTGAACGGATCCTAGACCAGGTTCCAAAAGTCATTGAGGAATATTATCTTGTTGAAAGCAAGCAGTATGCATCAGTTGAAATGGATTGGAAAAGACTGCAGAGTATGTGATGATGGTTTGTGGACTACTGATGATATGGTACTATACAACTGAGAGAATTACTGCCCCCGTAGAGAAGGGCAACGTGAAATGGTGCTTTGGGACTGAAACCACCAATAGGAGAGGTAGCAGTGGGGAAATGGTATACTGATCAGGTATTTTGCTGACCTGTCCTTAAGAGTAGATAAATGAAGCAGCCCCAAAAAAGGGATGGGAAAACACTGAGCAAGATGAAAGCTTGAGCTGAAATGGGAAACACAATGTGGCCTTCTTTGTACTATATGCCAAATGTATCCCAACAGACATGGTAAAAATGCTATGGAACAAGAAAATTTGGTACAGAGACACGGGACATATTACATCCATACATAGTGGCTGCCTGATCGTAGCAGCTTCATAGTCATCTCCTCTGAGAAAACTCCTGAGGTTTTGGAATAGAACATGTGCAGTGGATGCACCAAAATGAAGGTTGCAGGATGAGGCAGAAACCAAAATAAAATGGAATCTGTGCATGATCATCATTGAGGAGCTTCAGTGATGGAAATTTCACTGCTTTTCTGAGAATCAGGATGATAATGAAAGAGCATGTGTCTGTCTGTCTTTTCATTCTTTCCCTTTACATCAGCTGCTTTTCAGCTTCCCATTGGAATTTAATCTAGAGCCTCTTACCTGTTGTTGCTGAAGTTTTCAAACCCAAAAATGTCCAACAGCCCAATGGACTGACATCTGTCTTTAGACTTCCGAGAAGTTGGGTTGAAAATGGCCGAGTTGATCTTGTTCACTATCCATAGGAAAATCCTTCCATATATGCCCTGAGAAAACAAAATTAAAGAGGATGTAGAGCCCATCATTACAGTCCTTGGACATAGCTTATTGCTTGCTCTCGTGCTGCTGCAATGCTGCCAAACTGTGCCTGAAAAATATGAGGGACAGGAGCCCTCTGGGTGAATGTTTGCCACATAAGGCTCCTCAATCAGTAAGACAGAGAGCTTTGAAAGCATCCCCAGTCTTTAAACAGAGAAGATGTAAGCACCAGTACCTTCACAAAGGCATCCCTCCCGTCTGCAGCTTGAAATACGTTCAGAGGCCTGGACACGCTTTCTCCTCGGACAATGATGGAGAGGTTTGTGAGGCTGCTCTGGAGTTCACTGGAGTCCACCTGGAGGAACAGTCATGGCAACCTGGTCATTCCAGGTGGATAAAGGAGATCTGGCAAAGTCTGTCTCAGGAAGAGGGCCATGACAAACTGCCTGTCCAGCATCATTCACTGGAGGCCTGCTGTCCCAGTTAAAGGTCTCCTAACTCAGAGGGACATCTGCAACAGCACCACTTGGGTGTCATCAGGAAGAAGGGGACGTGCCTGTTTATGTGTGTATCCGTAAATAAACACTCCAGAGAGACGTGCTTTGTCAGTGTGCTCAGGGAGCAAGGAGAGAACTAGTAGGAAAAGACAAGAGTCCATTACCTCAAGCAATTTGGTTGCGATTGAAAAGTGTGGTGAGTCCATCACATCAGAGCAGTCCAAGTTGTCGTACACAGCCGCTACAATGAGGAAACAGTCAGTCTCGGGGTGGATCATTTCTGCTACATTTACATATCATTTCAGTGCTGTTATTTCGTATTTCTCCAGCTCTGTGGCACTGGGAATGTTGCAAGGCACTAAGTCTTTATTTTAAATGGTATTATATTATCTCTTGTTTCAGTTTGTGTAATAAGGGCCTTTTTATAACCATGGAAACCTGATGTCATGACAAAGGGCCTTTTTATAACCATGGAAACCTGATGCCATGACAAAATAATAATAATAAGATGATGTTTTTCAAAACACTAGGCAGTGGAGTCACGGATCAGAATTTCATGGTGCTTATCTGCCTGCCCTTCCAACCCAGTTCATCCAGAAAAGCCCAACCTAGTCTGTACAAATGGAAGCGGCAGCACCTTTAGGCCTTTGCCATGGAGTCTGAGGAAATGCTGAGTTTACCTTCAAATTCCACATTCCCCAGGTGCAGGATCACAGCCAGCAGCTTGCTGATGTCCCAGTGCTCAGAATCTGAGAACATGAGGATCTTCATAGCTGAGCGGATGTGGGCATAATCCTTTGCGTCATTCCGGCCATCACAGGACGTGCAGTTGCCCTGCAAGACACCATACCCACAGGTAAGGAAAATCCTCCCAGTACCCATACAAAGAAGAAAAGAGCTGCAAGGTGAAAAATGCTTGTACACAATCTGGATGCCCTGTGAGCCACTTGCCACAAGATGCAAAGTAAAAAACTATTTAGACATTCCATATGCTCTTCCCATGGCTGTTTCTTCCCTCTACTCTCAAAAAAAACCCCATTAGCAGAGGTCTAAATAATGTATTTCTTCAGGGCTAGACTGAATACTGGGGAAGCCAAAAGGAAAAGCTGTTCTGGAGCATTGAATACTGGGGAAGCCAAAAGGAAAAGCTGAGGGGAAGGCTGTTCTGGAGCAAAGAAGGACAGGAAACTTTGACAAGGCTACCTACACTTACAAGGCCATGCCTGTTACCTTGGTCTCCTCTCTGCCTTGTCAATGCACAATTAAAAGCCCTAATCCCAAATCAAAGCAAGTAGGATTGGATCAGTACTAGAAGACATATCTCAAATTAGGAATGTTAGGTTCTAGTGGAAGACAGATGGAAGCATCCAAAGCAGCATTAGAAGAACCCTCAGCACAGCCTGTATTGCAGATCCTAGGATGCTGCTCCTGTTAGAAACTATTTTCAGCCCTAATAGACATGGGAAAATGCCTTTTTTATCCTTGCTATTGCCAACAATAAAGTGAAGTATTTCTAGATATTTGGGTTTACAGCATGAAAAACATGCCATCTTGTGCCAACAGCTGACCTGACCAAACCACGGATATGTTCTCCTTTAATCTAATCCTCCTAGCTCTGTATTATATGTCCTACTGCTGACCCAAGGAACTTCAGACATTTGTATGGAGTGGCCAGTGTGTGAATTGCACTTATCAGCTCTTGCTGCAAGATCAAGGCTATTTTAGAAATGTTATATTTGAAAAAAAGCTTTTGAAACTCCAGAAACAGCTTTATAGGCTTGATTTAATTTCCTCTGAAACTAGATGCCCAGCTCCTGTTAGCCTCAGCAGAGGCAGGACTTAGTCCCTTTTTTCCACAGCTGTAGAACAGCCCAAATCAAATCCAGTTGACATATTTCATGAGTTATCTGCACAGGGTAAAGAGCAGGATTTTCACAATGTCTTTCATGCCCTAAACCAACCAATTAGCTATTTTAAAAAACCTCACCTATGAGTCACCTATGAAATCTCACCTAGCTATCAGATATAGAGACTAGGATTCTTGGCACTGTTTCTGCTTATTCATTTCCCCCTAAAGTATATATACCTGATTAGTATTCTCCCTGGCATGAGATGTAAAACCTCAGTACCTGTGAAAGTGGGGGATATTTCCCACCTGCTTTAAGATGTCCCTTATGTTTCTTAAGACTGATTTTGATAGAAAGCTTTGAACTGCCACAGGCTTCCTCCCACTGGTGGACGTTACAATAAATCTCTGAAACTGAGGCTCACAGCACTTTTGGTGTTACTGCTTCTGGTACTCTAAGAAAAGGACTGTTCAGATTTGGTAACTCCCCATCTGTGGCTCCTATTGATTGTAATTTCTTGCTAGGAGAAGAAAAATGGCAGAGGGATAACGGAGAAGAAAGTGGAGACTGTTACCATAGTGAGATAAGTGTACTCTGAAGCAGTGCCCAGATTCAGCATCTTTTTCTGCTCTGTATTCATCCCCATTAGCATACAGTAGAAGATGTGATAGTTCCTCTCCTCCGGAGCCTAAAAGAAAGAAAGAGGCCAGTGGACAGCCTTGTCAGCATAGGCTTGTAACACAGGAGCCAGCAGAACAGACATCTGGCAGTGCCCTCACCTGCCGGCAAACCCGGGACTTCTCCAGAAGAAACTGTTCTATCCGGGCTCCTTCTATCACACCACTTTGGTTGAAGTGGATATCAATGTATTTCCCGAAGCGGCTTGAATTGTCATTTCGAATTGTCTTGGCATTTCCAAAAGCTGATGGGCAAGGGACAGAGATAGTATCTGGATTGTTGCAGTTAATGAACACCAAGTCTATTTTTTAGCTCCTTCTTTTTTGCTGCTGTTTTTTGACATGTGTTCCAAATGACAGTGCTGACAAGTACTGAAGAATGTCTGCTCTCAGACTGCCTGCTAAAGAAAGAGGCAGCCACACTGTCCAGCCAGATAATCAAAGAATCATAGAATTATCTAGGATGGAAGGGACCTTTAAGATCATCTAGTCCAACCATCAGCCTAACCCTGATAAAAAACCATCACTAAACCATGTCACTAAGCACTATGTCAACCCATCTTTTAAATACCTCCAGGGTTGGTGCTTCAACCACTTCCCTGGGCAGCCCATTCCAAGGCTTAATAACCCTTTCAGTGTAAAAATTATTCCTAATATCCATCCTAAACCTCCCGTGGCACAACTTGAGTCCAAGAGAGCTGGGCAAGTCTGAAGAACTCCAGAAGGACTTACTGGGAACACACTTGATCCCTCTACAGAGAAAGATGGGTGTCTCAGGGAGTTCTCCTATAGATAGTTCCACGCTTGGCCAGCCACTTTCCTATTCTTTAGCAAATGCTAAACTAGGGGTCTTTACATTGGGCTCTGCAATTCCAAGGACTCTCATGGTCCCAGAAGTTCTGGGTTACATATTATAGTGGCACCTCTTCCAACAGCATGGGAGCTGCTGTGGACTTCATGGGGACAGGGCAGAAAAGCATAGAGACCTCCTACCCTGCATCGCCAGTGTTCCAGGGTTTTTAGCAGTTACGCAAATACAATGGTTCAAAGAACTGTTTCTGAATTTTTTATCCTGATATAAAAATCCTGAGATAAAGGTGGTAAATCAGGTATATTTGCTAAAGAGCCCACCTTCCAGAATGGGGTTGGCCTCTAGGATTTGCTGCTCTATCCAGGAATGCTGGCCACTGACAGCTGCCAAAAACTGTAGTATCAGCTTTGTGCTTTCAGTCTTCCCAGCTCCAGATTCTCCACTGCGGAAAGAAACAAGATCATTACAGGTTTCCTTTCTGCTTTTTTTGCCAGGGTGGAAAAAGGGCAGACCACATATTTACTCCATGAATCACAGAGCAGACTGTCTTTCATGGAAAGCTGGAGAATTTAGCCTATCATCATCTTATCTGCTAAAATTTAAGTTGCTTTTTAGACTTAGGCTGAGGACTAAATTCTCCCACTGATTAAAACCAAGCAAATCCATGGAAGACATTCTGTACCAGTGCAAATTGAGTGACTACTCGCTTTTCTTCTTTAATGCATTAGATTTTCAATGCTAGTCATAGCACATCAACTGAGTTGCCTCAGCTATATTCAGATACTATTGCAATGAGACCATCTGGTTCTTCACACTGACGATTAACAGAAAATGGATACATGTTTTGTGTTGATAAAATGAAGAAAGCTTCCCTCCATCTCCCGCTTAGCAGAGGAAACCTCTATTCTCAGAAAATACATATAACATAAGTATTATGTCCCCAAGGTAAAAGATAGCCTCACATCACACAGGTTCATATTTTATGTTTCTGTACGTGGAGAATGTATCACCACGTTCAAAGATTCTTGGGGACAACAACAGAGTTCAGAAATCCCTTGCTTGAGTTCTACTATTTGCAGCCCTAACTGAAAATGAAGTTGCAGGGGAGAACATATTTCCTCCCTGTTGTCTCTAGTTTTATTTGTGCCCTTCCATTTGGAACATCTCCTGTATCCACAAAGGTGCCCCAAAAACATGCCAGACTTGGTTTCTGCTACTCATCCTCTCCGAGTCCGGTCACCTGATCACACAGCACTGGTCTCTCTTATTCCTCTTCATATTGAAATAGCAGTTGTCTGCAATGGCGAAGACATGAGGTGGCAGCTCTCCAATCCTCTTGTTACAGTACAGTCTGATCTGATCAACTGTGTACAAGGGCAGCAGCTGGTACGGATTCACTGCCACCAAGATTGATCCTGTATAAGTCTGGAAAACAGTTATGAGTGTTACCTCTAGCAGCAAACCTACGAACAAGAATACAACCAAAGCCACTTGCAGAAAAATCTAAATAGAGGAAGAAGGGAAGCCTGGGAGATCCATAGCAGCACTTAAGTAAGGCTGAGAGCCCAGTTCCTCATGATAAACTGCTATTAAATATCCCAGCATATGGAATTTTTTTGCAAAAGAATGCTAGCTATAGTCTCCTTGCCAAATCACAGCTCAGGTCACTGTCTCAAGCTAAAGCACAAGAAAATCACAGCTCAGGTCACTGTCTCAAGCTAAAGCTTGTCCAATTTGACATGGTGCTTTTGTGTGTTGCAGGAAGCTGGTTTGCAGTGCTTTGCAGCGTTTTGCAGCGTTTTGCAGCTTTTGTTAAGCTGCTTTCGTGTTCTATTTCAGATGTAGCTGAACTTTGCTAATGGGCAAAGTTATGGTTGTGTTATTCGTACAGTCATTTAGTAACATTTATAGACAACAGCACCATTGAAATGAAGGAAGCTGTTGATATTGTTGAAGAACCTGTACATAAGACAACTGCAGACTGCTCGTGTCTCATATAACAGGTCTAGACACACATCTTGGTAATTATAACTGCACCATCTATAAAACCAGTCCTTGTTTACACTAAACATCACTGCATCTGTGTTGTAAGACACAGTTCCTCTCCTATGAAAGTAGCAGTGTATACAACATGGGAGGCAAAGCATGCAAAAACCTGAATATTATTATCGTATTGCAAACTGGGAACTAAGGAACAAAGAAACTAAAGATGTCAAGTTGCTCAAAGTCAGGGATAAAACCTGTAATGGACAAGAAATGAAACCAGGTGTCCTAAATATCCAGATTTATTCTTCATCTATTTTATTACATCAAAATCAAGTAGCCATTGACTTGGACTGGAGGACAATCCAAATCATGTCACTCTGTACTAGTTAGACTGATCCTTAGTGTAACAGCAGCACTAAGCTGTAACATGGACTGGATTGAAGTAGCTGTCAGTCACTGGTGGAAACGATCACTCGAGGACAAACTCAGCAGGGTCACTACCTATGCATATCTCTGTGATCTCAGAGACTATTAGTTCTCTTCTTCAAAGCTAAAGTACTTGAATGAAAGAAGAGAAAAACTACGTTGTGTCTCCTTGGCACCCTCAATCAGTAAAGGAAGCAGATGGCCCCAAGTATGAAAGGCCTGCAGGCTTTCAGGTCACGCTGCTAAACAAGTAGCACTAGTTGTTCCTGAAAGCACTGTGCCTGATGACCTTGGCACTCACATAGATTTTGTGCTCCTGGTGGCGGATGAGGAGGTTGTGGACCATGCCTGCTTCGTGGAGATCCCCGAGGCTGATCATGTCTTCCACCCCGTGAGCAGAGGAGGGGTGCATCAGGCGCACCATGTGCATGTTCCGAGCCGTGATCCAGTGCTCCTGAAAAAGGCCAAGGCAGCAGTTTTAATGTGTTCTGCTGATGCTCAGAGGCAAACTAAGGAGAGCCACATTAGACCAGAATGAGCTGCAGTATGATCAACTCTTAAACCAGCATATTCTAAGAAACAGTTGACTGAACTATAGAAATTAACTGGGTTGCTGCTTCCCAGGACCAGGTGATTTAAAACCCTGGAAGAAGCCGTTTCAAGTGGACACCAAGTTTAGCATTGGCAAAGCGCAGTTCTGTCAGGTCATCACAGCTACATCAGGTATGAAGTAAGGGTGAAACCCCAGCCCAACTGACTTCAGTGGGACCATGATTTCACTTAAAGCTCCACCAAATTTAGAGATTAGAGCCTGTCCATTTCCTTTTCTTAACTATGTAGATATTACATCTACCTTAGGAAGATCTAAATCTTCACAGTATTGGGACCTGGGGATACTAGAGTATCACTCTGTACTTGCCTTATTTTTATGTTCTTTCTTTCAGTGTATCCTACCAGCCATCACTGAAGTCAGATCATTTGGCTAGATGGAGCTTTGGTCTGACACAATGGGGCCATTCTTTTGTTATTTTTACTTCTAAATTTTATGTTCATCTTTTTACACATCATTATAGTGTAGCCCACCTTGCCTTCATCATCCTCCAGCAAGATCCGTCCTGACTCAGAGTCCTTCACGACTGCCCCAATAGGGACATTGAATTCACTATTTGGGTTAGTTTCCAGCCACACATGATCACCCTGGGGAGAAGAAAAGCTATGGTCAAGTACAATGACAAACTTTATGCCGTGTAGCTCACAGGCATGCATCTCTTGGTCTGAATCTTTTAGTGATTTGATTTCTTGAGCAGTGTTTAACTGGGTAAGTTCTTACTGCTCACAGGTGGTACAGCCCAACAGTTATAGTATCAAGACCTTTGAGTTCTACTCTCAGCTCCACAGCTGACCTGGAACGTGACTTTGGACAAGTCATCAAGCCCAGCCATCTCACAGGAGGAAATGAGGCAACACCTTTTACAAGGACAGCAATTACTCAGCTCTGCTTCCTCCCAGAGCCTGGCAGGGGCACAGTGAATGCTGGTAAACTGGTATTCTTCCAGAAGAGGTGCTTGAAAACATAGACATTACCAGGAAAAAGAAAAACAAACAAACAGCTGTACAGACTGGATGCCTGTAGAGAGCTGCATTGCAAGAGTTTTTAGATACATATTCTTTCTGCTGTAGCTGAAATCACTTAGAAGTCTGGGTGTATCCATGAAATTCTTTCTGCTGTAGCTGAAATCACTTAGAAATGTGGGTGCATCCATGAAATCTTTTCAGGAAAAAAAAAAAAAGCAGGTGGGTGTATCCATAAAATCTTTTAAAAAAAAAAAAAAAAAAAAAAAAGCATAGTTTATTTAGTTTATTCAGCCCAGCTCCTTTATTTACATTTGTAGAGGCATGGCAACATCCCGCCTCTCTGCAGAGCAAGCAAGCGAGGAGAACTGCTCTGCTGCCGCTGGAGAAGAGGTGTGAGCTACAGCTGCCCTTTCCTAGGACAGAGCACCATCTTGGTGTTGCCTGCACTACTGCCCTGGTTCTGGTCCCCAACTCCAAGTCCCCAGGAATACTTCCTTTTGCTCCAGGCACTAATACAGACTCAAACAGAAAGCTTTACTGTAATGGCTGGAATGAAAATTGGACAAAACCGTCGGTCAGATCTTCAATGGGTAGTTCATTCCTACACCTGCTGAGGAGCCAGCTTTCTAGCTAAGAGTCTTGTCTTATTTAACTTTTGTTACATACTGTAGCATTTCCTGTCAAAATTTCGAGTTTTTTACTGAAAAATTATTTCTTTTTTTCCTCTCAAAATACTTGATGGGCTTACATTTAAAACCCAACAACTGTAGTGTAAAGCATCTACAAGCATGGCACAAGGTTGTGAAGAGTGTTACAGGCTAACAGCTCTCATTTGTGTTGAATAAAACTCCAGAGGTAATCCGTGTAGTGTCAGTGCCACACTTTGTGACAGAGGTCACCAGCTCAGCATGAGCACAGCCAGCGCAGGCGAGACACCTCCGCATCTCTAGTCTAGACTGGTATGATTTTATGCCTTGTTGATACTGGGTTATTGCTACTTTGGTTCTGAGATTTTTCTCTGAGGTACTTTTCTCCTCTTTGGGCCTCAGGCTAGTCACTAAATCACAGCAAAGAATAGGACTTACCTTTCGGAAAATCATTATGTTTCAGATCACTGGATGTAACCTGCAGTGCCAAGAAGAACTTAACATTAGGCCAGAAAAGGGCTCAGGCTTTGATCAGAATAGACAGCGAGGTGGAGATGTTTCCTTGTAAAAACAACAGCGAAATGCCTTAAAATAATTACGTTTATAGATTTCATTAAAGCAAAATGGACCACAATAAGCTGTACCCTATGTAGAAATGATGAAACCATCTACCTAAAGCAAAGATCTACAACACTGGGGCGGGGGGTGGGGGTGGTCTGCTCTGAGTTCTACCACATAGCCCCGGAAATGGTCTCAACCCTGGAGAAGTCACTGCATGTGTTTTGATACCAAATAGTTCCCTCAATCAAATGCGGGGTGGTCTGCTCTGAGTTCTACCACATAACCCTGGAAATGCTCTCAACCCTGGAGAAGTCACTGCGCACATTTTGATACCAAATAGTTCCTTCATCAATTACTAGGCACATTAATTGGCTGAACTAAGTTTGGCTCACAAATAAAAAGACCCCACAATGTAAGGTAATGCAATGTGCAGTCCAGTTACCTTTGGCTGGTCCACTGACCCAGCAGTTCCATTCCTACAAGTGGCCAGCCCAGTGACACAGATGGAGCTCGTGCTCTCCTAAGATGCTCAGTTCCCTCAGACTCTCACAGCTTGAACCTACCACCATATAGAAACTGAGGTCTAGAGTTCACTTTTCTTGGCTGGAATGGGAGGGGTTGCAATGAAGGCACGAGCAGCAGAATAAGGAACAGGAAGGAAAAGAATTAAAATTCGAAGCTCACTATTGAGAACATAATAGTGAAAAGATTGGTGGCCAGAAGTCTACACCAGTGCTTTCATTAAGGGATGATATTGTTTAGGCTGTGATCCTTGGAACAACCAAGTAACCAAAGTCTTCAGAAGCCGCTTGCTGTCCCATAGGCTACTGCAGCTGGATTTTGGGAGTGATTCCAGACTGGGTGTGATTTGCTGGCTCCCACTCTTGCTACAGCGGGAAGGCTGCTCTATGCCTTTTACTGTGTGTGGAAAACCCCAGGCAAAGACTCTGCAAATGTTTCCAGAGTTCAAGACGGTTTTTTTCCCCTGTTATCTCTTCCTACCAGCAGGAGTGATCCCTGCACGTTACGGCTGTTGAGTAATCTGTGATGTCTGCTTCACACAGTAGCTGCTCTGTGAAGCAGACATCAGTTGTCAGCCCAGGTCTCCACAGCCTCATATTCATCAACTTCTCACAGCCATGTGGTCCATTCTTCCCTTCATCTCTCTCTCATCTTCCTCTATCCATTGTTCCAGCCCACCCAGAGGAAAGGCTCAGCTCCCAGTTGATAATAAGAATGAAATGCTTGCAATAAACAAAATGCTCCCAAAATTGCTAATCTTGGACCAAATATTAATTCTATTTTTACTATTTTATGGTGTATTATCAATGATGCTTTATTAGCAATTTTATCTCAAACAGATTTTACAGCTCCTGCTCAGTGAAGGCATATTGAATCATCTGCATCCCTTCGGCACATTCCTGTTTGACAGCAAACTGATTGGAAACTACTTTACAAGAAGATGAGTGGACACTACAGGACCAGAAATTGATCTTTGGCACTTATTCCAGGCAAGTCCATAACCTCTCAGAACATCCCCCATGAAGAAGAGACACCTGTTCTGATTTAATCTTGACACTCAAATGCAAATTTTTTGTTTTCTTGTAGCTTTTTGAGAAGTTATTTTATTCTGCCCCTAAATTATGCTTGTCTAGGTTTTGGCCAGGTTCTCTGGAAAGTTTGAGCAAAACAAGAAAACCAGAAATTAACTAGAATTAATAAGTTGACAGTTCCATTTTCTACCTATGCTATACAGATAATCATCAAAATCCCTGTTTGCAGTACCATTATTATTAGTGATTAATGGGATACTTCATCAATAATTTCACCAAGTTCTGTGAGATTTCTTCTATCATGCATAAAGGCAACTAAATTATCAGAAAAGTGTTTCAAGTCGCTAGTTTATTTTTGGAAATTCATGTTCTTGAAAAATGAAGATTACCATCAAAAAAACCTCAAGGTTAAGTTTGGGGATACCACTGTTTTCTCCCTCTTGTTTTAATAAACTTCAATGTCAGATGAAAACATTGCAGTAGGAGAATTAGGGCTCATTTTATCACTTGCTTTCCTATAGCTGCCCACTTTTTTTTTTTTTTAATCCATGTTATTTGGGAAGGTATAAATAGCTTCCATAAATCATGGTCTTATTTAAAACTGATGGGTGCATAAACAACCTTTTCTTCAGACTAAATGGAAGCAGCAATTATATTCCTGTATGCAAGATACTGCTGCTGTTGTGCTTTACACCAATGTCCTAACCACAAGGAGGGCTATGACAAGCTACAAGATTTTTGTGCCCTATATAGCCCTATATAGCATGGATTGAAGAAGGTTTTTAAGCAGGCCCAGAATGATTTACCATTTCAAAGTCATCAAAAGATAGGCTGAAAATGGCTAATTATCAACATTGCAAAGTGTATTGTGATCCCAAAGTGAAAAATGAAGAGAGACTTCAAGAGATGATGGACTGCTGATGTAGAAGTCTGATGTTAACACATATTTTAAAGCAGGAATTTTAAATGTAATTTTCACATAGGTGACCCAATAGGAAGAACAGAAGTGGACTGTCACATTTAATAACAAAAGCTGGCATACGGAGAAACAGCACATCCTGTGTCCCCAACACAACACTTGCTGATGACATTAAGAAGTGATTTTCCCTGTGAGACTAGGGCAACCTCCAGAGCTCATCTGTAACTAAGACAATTCTCAATTTTGTAGCACAACATCTGTGAAAATTTAGCAATGCAACATGAATGTGTTCTTTCTGGTTCCTTGGGTTTTCTTCTCTTTTTTTTTTTTTTACACTCTCTCAAAAAGGAACTTCTGTCTTTAGTAATCAGTTATTCTTATGGTGAAGTCCTCATTCTTATTCAAGACTCAGGAACTGGAGCTGCGTATTAACTTCAAGAATGTGATGATGTGTTACTATGAGGGTCTCAAGGTGGTACAGAAGCATGATACTTGGCAAACATAGGCCAAAGCTGGGCCACGGGCAGCCACGGTGACTCATGACTGACAGATAAATTTTCACCTCCACCAGAAACCAGAATAGTGCAACAGAGCAGAAATGTCTACCCAGAACAAAGAGGGAGTGGTACAGGCAAACACGACACGCAACCATACCGCGTCACATCTAAGGTATAGCTACCTCTGGATCCAGCCTATGACAGCAGCCAAAAGTGGACACATAGGGAGGGGATCCCATATAATCCCGGGATACACAGTTTCAACATTTAAAATCTATTCCCAGGTAAGTTCTAAGTGGCCATCACCCCACCTGCTTCAATGGCCGCTTTCTGACAACGCCTGGCTCTCTCTGTTGCTTTCCTTTCCAAACTAATGCAGCCCTGTAAACCAAACTGTGCCCCCCTCCCAGGATACAAGATTACCTCTCCAGAAGAAATCTTCACTGTCTGGCTTCTGCAGCTTAGTTCCCTCTTTTTCATAAGCATTGGAGTAAGAAGGAAAAGGAAGGTGAAACTTGTACTGGTGCCATTAAGGGATCCCTCACCAAGTGCCAGTTCTCCGCTGCACAAAGGAGGAAGTGACTGAAGCACGGTTATTTATTACAGGACTTTGCTCCCAGTTCAGCATATATGTCATGTCCAAGTCAGGTGTTCCAGTAATCAAGAGGCAAATTCTTCCCTGGGTGAACCTTAAACTTCAATCTCTCCCTGTGCCTGAATCCTTTCAGATTTCCGTAAAGCACTCCCAGAAGAAAACCCTTTAGCATCTGGTCTTACTCTGCTCCAACACCACTGACTTCCCTGGGGTTCTCTTGGAGTTACTCTGTTAGATAAGAGGGAAATCAGGCCTCATCTCGCCCCTTGGTTTTGCACTGCTCTTCCTGCAAGGTCAGAACACACACATCAGTCTAGGTCCTGTGTGGACTGTGTTTCAGAGCACCTAGGGCAGAAAACAAAATAAACTCATGGCGCAACTGAAATTGATACTGAATTGATGAACACATGCATATAAGGGGACTGGGATTTCCAGTCCATTTGTTTAAAACTTCCTGGTCTTGTCATCATTGATTTATCTCCCAACAGACACCCTGTCCCTCTGTCCCAGCACCTAGGTCCCTATCTGCCCTCTTCTCTCTTGCCAAATAAGGACAGGATGGCCAAGATCTTCCCACGTTGCTCCACATGTGCTCTCAGTAATCCCGTGTCCTTCTTGCCCATCCTGTTAAATTCCAGCACTAGATGTGAGGTCTGGGAAGGAAACACAAGTGTAGGATACCTGCAGTGAGGCAGATACCATGCTAATGAAAGCATGCAATAATTGTGAATATGTGCTCATATTCCTAATAGCTTAATTCCTACTTTCTTGTTTCCTAGGCTCAACGTAGCTGCCCTGTAGGATGGGAAAGCCAACAAAAAGCCTCTGTGTTAGAGCCCCTGCTGTAGTTCCGTATCCAAATCAGAGGTAAGCATTCAAGCATAGCAATAAATAGTTGGGAGTAATATGTGTTTATCCACATTACATATTTGTGTTTTAGCCTCCTTACCAGAGGTTTTTGTGTAGGTTTTATACCAGAAATGAAGATACAGTTGCAGAAGTAGAGTAAAGGCCCTTCGGGGCTCGGAGGCTTTTAGAGAGAGGCAGGAACCCATAAGGCAGAGAGGAGAGCTTTCTATAATTTTCTAACTGTGCAAATCATTCTTACTCAAGGATTTTGCCTCAAAGTAGTTATTTAGCAGACTTTTATTTCTGATACAATACTTTTTAGAAGAAGTCTGTATGCTGTATGTGATTAACAAAATTATAAGTACTGAGTTTATTAGATGAAGGTCAAATATTGGCAAATAAATCAAAGTACAGACTTTTATATACCAAAGCAGGTATCTAAACCCAAAGATTTTTGCGTAGCTAGACTGAAGAGAAAAAGGTACCATGTGTATTTCTTCAGCACATGAAACATATTTGCTGCAATTCCAAATGGAGTGTGTTTTGGGGTAGAGAGTCTCATTCTAAAAATATATAACTTTTTGATACTTGTGTCCAAGACTCAGTGAGGGTGCTGTTTCAGAGAGAAGTACAGTATTTCTGTCCTGGTACAGGATATAAACTGTATGAGACAGAGACACAGGGAACTGAAGGTAGTCCGAAAGAAAAGCACGACTCATTGTACGGCTGAAATACATGTTGGAAGGGAGATGGATTTCCACAGTCAAGTCTAGACATACTCAAGAGCCAGAAAACATAAGCTGAAGGAGAAGAGGCTTGATATAGCAAGTGGAAGCAGCCTAGGTGCTTCGTAAAGCACATGTGCCTAATGAGAGATGAGCAGGCAGCTTGCTAAAGGCTTCTGCGGAGACTTGGCTGTGGGTGAGAAGGGGTAGCTCAGGTTTGGGAAGTCACTGAACTGTGTGACCAGGGAAAGACGGGAGCTTGCAGCTCTGGTTACTGCTGAAGACAGGGTTTGGTGACTCAGAGCATCACAGAATGATACGGGGTTGGAAGGGACCTCTGGAGATCATCCAGTCCAACCCCCCTGACAAAGCAGGTCCACCCAGAGCAGGTTGCACAGTGAGGGACTGTACAGGGCACAGACACTCCTGTAGTTGTGATTAGGGGTAATTTGTAGGATGGCCTATACTGGTGAATAATGCACTGAGAAGTGCAGCAAATTACAATCGGATAATCCCCGGTGAATTTAATCCTGCTGTTGTTCAGAGCAATAGGTCTGTCTGGACAGACATGTGTTAACAAAACTGTCTCTTCCTGACAGCTTCCTAATTAAGAGATTGATGTCAGGATCAAAGGGTTTAATTTGCACATGGCGCTGGCTCTCACATTTCCTCTCCAGCTAAATCAAAGTGGCCTTGTCATTTCTGCATCACCGAGCCCTAGATGCCAAGTACCATTTTATGTTAAACTAGCTCTTTTTCTGAGGTTTCTGAAGGGAGGTAGACTGGATATGACAATTTGCAATTTAAACTGTTCATTTAGAAGCCTTCTTCTCTACACTAACCTCCTTCCCTTCCTCTAAGCAGATTTGTAGCTTTAAGTCACTGATGTCTGTTAACTCTGAAAGGCGTACTGCAGGCAGCAAAGCAAACTAAATAAGAAGTACCTACCCGTAAAGGATTTCCAAGTGCATCCCTTGGTTGTCTTGAGCATTCTGTCCCTCAGGGAAAGGCTTATTTCATTCCAGCCAGGTCATGATGTTGTACAGAGAGGCGGACTGGTGGGGCTCGGGGACCTGTGTCATTACACACCTTCACACACGCCAAGTGGGGGCTGCTGACTCCGCTTGCGAGAAGGCAGGTCCTTCTCCCCCACCGCGCAATCCCATTATGGTCTCAGTGTCACTCCATCCTTCCTTTTGGGATGCAGCCAAGGTGGGATTACAAGGGTATGTTACAGGCCGGTAAGCGCCAAGTTCTGGCTCATGAGGGACAAAGACATGTGCACGCGAGCGTGTCTGCTGGTGCACACACACACGGGACCTGTGGAAGAGCTGTCAGAAGTGATGCCCAATTATTCAGCATTCAGTGAGGTTTGATTAATTCGAGAGCACCCTGGGCTACGCGGTACACGTGGGGTGTCACAACACCAGGCTCGGGGTTAGGAGGTTTTCTTTCAAAAGATGGGAATTTGTAACTCTTAGGAAGGAACCTCTATGCCTCTTTCCACTGTCAGGAAATGCAGAAATTCTCTATTCTGTCATCAGTGCAGCTGGAATTTGGGACAGTGGCTTGTTCTCTACACTAACCTCCTTCCCTTCCTCTAAGCAGATTTGTAGCTTTAAGTCACTGATGTCTGTTAACTCTGAAAGGCGTACTGCAGGCAGCAAAGCAAACTAAATAAGAAGTACCTACCCGTAAAGGATTTCCAAGTGCATCCCTTGGTTGTCTTGAGCATTCTGTCCCTCAGGGAAAGGCTTATTTCATTCCAGCCAGGTCATGATGTTGTACAGAGAGGCGGACTGGTGGGGCTCGGGGACCTGTGTCATTACACACCTTCACACACGCCAAGTGGGGGCTGCTGACTCCGCTTGCGAGAAGGCAGGTCCTTCTCCCCCACCGCGCAATCCCATTATGGTCTCAGTGTCACTCCATCCTTCCTTTTGGGATGCAGCCAAGGTGGGATTACAAGGGTATGTTACAGGCCGGTAAGCGCCAAGTTCTGGCTCATGAGGGACAAAGACATGTGCACGCGAGCGTGTCTGCTGGTGCACACACACACCGGACCTGCGGAAGAGCTGTCAGAAGTGATGCCCAATTATTCAGCTTTCAGTGAGGTTTGATTAATTTGGGAGCACCCTTGGCTGTGTGGTACACATGGGGTGTCACAACACGAGGCTCGGGGTTAGGAGGTTTCCTTTCAAAAGATGGGAATTTGTAACTCTTAGGAAGGAACCTCTATGCCTCCGTCCGCTGTCAGGAACTGTAGAAATTCTCTATTCTGTCATCAGTGCAGCTGGAATTTGGGACAGTGGCTTGCTGTTACTGCAGTATATGGCACTTTTTATAAATTACTAATTTCCAGTCATACTACTGCTTGGAACTTTAGTACATGATAGACTTCTGTGTTTTCTAGGCACCTTGGTACAATTTCCAGGCACTTTGGTACACATTATTCAATCTCTTTTTTTTCTGTTGTTAGTTTCTATTTATGTTTCCCCTTGTCCATTTTTTTCTGTTACATTACTCCCAACTTGTTATTTCCTACCTTTAGTGCTTTGTCTGCAGAGAACTTTGTTGTGTTGTAATGAGTCACTTTAAAGTTGTTATACTGCCTTTTATTTAGCCAGTTGTAAAAAGCCATTAAATTTCTTTATGGAAGTTGGATAAGCGAAACACTGGGAGCCTCCTACCACACACTGACCCGTGTGCCTGCTCCTTCCCGAAAAGATCCCAGTGAAACCACACAGTGCAAAGAGCTAAAGGCAGTAAAAGTCATATAGGAACAGGAAAAAAGGACACGGTAGCATTAAGATGGTGGTCCTGAGGACTAAGGGACCTTTAGGGCTACTTGAAAAAGACCTGTAAAGCTGTAAGCAGAGAGACATTCTCTAGGTTTTATCTATGCTGCCTTCAGGGTGGGGAGAAAAAGGGTTTTCTGCATTTCTTCTAAGAACATACAGCCAAGAAACATCGGGCTCCACTGCCAATTTCTCCTTCTATGTGAAACAGTGAAGCAGATGTTGAGGAATGGCTCAATTCAGAGAGTTCAGCTGTATTTACCGTGGTACGCTGAGCTCCCTGCAGTGCAACGGGTCAGTTAATAATGGCTTAACCTCCCTGCCATCCTTTCCAAAGGGCCACTAGCACACAAGAAATAATGACTCCTTTTGCCCAGAGCTCTCCACTCACTAAATTGTGATGGCCCCGAAAAAGAGTGTTAGCATGTAGGGTTATAAAAATCACCGTTGTTTAGAAATACCTCAAATAAACCTCAACAGTTTTCTATTTGTCACACGTTGTGCCCTCCCATAAAACAAAGATGTTTTGTTTGCCAGAGAAGAAGAAGAGAGGCAGGAGGCCAGTGCCGCGTGCATTTATTAGGCTTTCCATTTTAAAATGAGGCGTCCATGACAGAAGTCATCCCTCGTAATCCTCTAGTGAGATATCGTAGGTGTGCTAAATAATTGAATAATGCAGCTGCTCAGAGGATAGAGGTTACTAAAAGAGAAGGCAACAATTCCTGAAAAGGACAGGGATGGCCGTGCCGCAGTGTTTGCTCCGGAAGGCAGCAATTACAGGGGAGTTCAGAGCTAACTTTCGGTCAGCCCTGAAGGCTAAATCTGGAGGAGCCACCCACACATGAACTAGATTGAACCTCAGCTTCAGCCAGGACAGTCAGACCTAAATTCATTGAGACAACTAGTCCTCGAGTTTCCATCACTGGCGTCGAGTCCCCTCCTCGGCCACCAGAAAAGGCAAAAAAAATACATAAAGCAGCACTTGGCTCCTGGGGTGGCACCCAGAGCCCTCCATGTGTGCCTGGCTTTGCTCTGCCACCCTCTTGTAGGTATTCATGTTAATTCTTGCTGGCTTGGTTTGTCGGGAGCGGATACATCCACCTGTTAAATGGTAAAATCTTCTCTGTGCGAGGCAGTAGATGAAACTTTAGATCTCCTGTCCTTTATTGGCACTGGGAGTGATTTTACCGGGGCAGACGTGGGGTGACGCTATTTATTAGGCTTTCCATTTTAAAATGAGGCGTCCATGACAGAAGTCATCCCTCGTAATCCTCTAGTGAGATATCGTAGGTGTGCTAAATAATTGAATAATGCAGCTGCTCAGAGGATAGAGGTTACTAAAAGAGAAGGCAACAATTCCTGAAAAGGACAGGGATGGCCGTGCCGCAGTGTTTGCTCCGGAAGGCAGCAATTACAGGGGAGTTCAGAGCTAACTTTCGGTCAACCCTGAAGGCTAAATCTGGAGGAGCCACCCACACATGAACTAGATTGAACCTCAGCTTCAGCCAGGACAGTCAGACCTAAATTCATTGAGACAACTAGTCCTTGAGTTTCCATCACTGGCGTCGAGTCCCCTCCTCGGCCACCAGAAAAGGCAAAAAAAATACATAAAGCAGCACTTGGCTCCCGGGGTGGCACCCAGAGCCCTCCATGTGTGCCTGGCTTTGCTCTGCCACCCTCTTGTAGGTATTCATGTTAATTCTTGCTGGCTTGGTTTGTCGGGAGCGGATACATCCACCTGTTAAATGGTAAAATCTTCTCTATGAGAAGCAGTAGATGAAACTTTAGATCTCCTGTCCTTTATTGGCACTGGGAGTGATTTTACCGGGGCAGACGTGGGGTGACGCTGGGTGTGAGCTCCCACACTCCTGGCTCAGACGAGGAAACACCTTTATTAAGGTAACAGCCATTTTATGCTTCTGTACAGCTGTTCATTTCTTATGGTGAGGCTCAAAACAGCCCTTTTTTCTCCAATGCTCCTTCCATTTTTCTATTTTCTAGGAAAAAAATAAAGACGTTTAGGGAGAGGAACACAAAAAATGACTGTTTCCTAGTTGGTTGCGGGTACCTCAGGCGCTGGGGGATGGGGGGGCAGCGGTGAAGAGTCACCATGACCCCAGCGCCAACACCCGAACCCCGCTTCCCCCCACCTTAAACACCGGGAAATGGACCTAAGGGCGGGGCGGGGCCGGGAGGGGCGGGGCCAGACCAGGGAGGGGGCGTGGCCACGGGCACGGCCCCGCCCACCCCAGCAGCGCCCCCTGGCGGCGCGCCTCCCCCCCCCGCCTCCTCCCTCCTCTCACCGAAGCCTCGCGAGAGCCGCCCCCCTCCCAGGGGCGCGCGGGGTAAGGGGGCGGGCGCTGCTGGCGCACGCGCGGCGGCGGTTGCCGGCCGTTCGGAGGGGAGGCGCCATCTTGGGCCTGTAGGAGGCGGCTCGGCGGCAGCGGGAGGCGGCGGGTTGTAGCGGCGAGCGCTGTTCTGCTGAGGGCTTCGCCTCACCGCCAGCCCGCGGGGCCTCGGCGGGGAGGCGGAGCCGGCGGCCCGCCATGGAGAGCGAGTACTACGGCGGGGATCAGTCAGGTAGCGGCGCGGGAGCGTCCCCCGCGGGAGGGACACCCGGGGCGCGGGGGCCTGTGAGGGAGGGTGCTGAGCACGGCGGGGATGGCCCTTCCCGGTCCGCCCGGCGGACGTTCCCGGGGCTCTCCGCCCTCACCGTGGTGTCGCGTAGCGGCGGCAGAGTCATGCCTCGGCCTCTGGTTCGGCGGGGGCTCCCCGGAGAGTGCTCCGGGCCGGGCCCGGGGGTGACATCGGCGGGGCCGGGTTGGGTTCCGCTGGCGTGATCGCAGCACAGCGGCCGCCTTATTATTAGCTCGGTATTTTGATTAGTGTGTCTGTCGCTGCTTGCGTGCGTGTTAGGAGTAGTTTTGGGATCTCTTCGGGGGGTGTCTGTGGTGGGTTGCTTCTGTTTCAGACCCTCCCAGTAGAAACCCTTCGTCTCTGTATTAGCGCCCTGATAGACTCTGATTGGTAGCACCTGCCCTGCGAGCGCTCTGTTCACTCCCTCTTAGCGGTCAGTGCTCTGGGAGGTCACTGGGAGAGGTCACTGAGTTTTACTTTTCTTTTCTTAACTTTGGAGCAGACGATGGTGGAGCTACTCCAGTGCAAGATGAACGAGATTCAGGATCTGATGTTGAAGATGAAGGAAATGAACAGCATTCTGGATCGGAGAATGGAAGTGTAGGGCACCATTCAGAGGTACTACTGGGCCTGGGACTTTGTCCAGTTAAAGATTACTGCTCTATTAATTGATTTATTTAAAAAAAAAATAATTAAAGAGCCATTATTCTTTTAACTGACATTTATGTGTTTATTCAGTTGTTCTTCAGGGTCCCCTCTGGCAAACTTTACTTCCAGAAGGAAATGTGTCAGATAATCTCTTGACCAATAAGCAGGATAGGGTGCTTTTTACTTTTCTTCTTAGTTGTTATAATAACATTCACAATTTGGTACCAGAAAAAAAGTTTAACATTATATTCAGTTGCCAGAAGATAAACTTTTTGTGTTTGAAATTCTAAGGAATGGATTATGAGGCATTTGGAATTTTACCTCAAATTCTGCACAGTAATGTAAAACTGCACATTACGGAGGCATAGATGTCCTTAGCAAAGAAGAAATGCTCTTCTGTCTTTCCTCTTAAATGTGAGCGTTTGCTCTGAGATCTATTTTGTGCTATGTTTTCACCTTGTCCTTTGCAAAGGAGTAGGTCTCTGTAGCACAAGAGCAGGTTAAGGTTTCTAAATGGGATCTCTTCTTCCTCTGAAGAGATTCTTGCTTTGAGAAGCCTACTCCATGAAGGCGGTGGTAATGCCTTGATTCAGGGTTGTGTCTGGGGGAGAATCTGTTAACTTGTGGATTGATTAGTTTGGTTGTAAAGAGACTCTGATAAAAGTTGAAGGTTCCCTTTAGATTTCTACGACAGTTTTGTAGTTAATCTTAATTTGGGTGATTTTTTGGGTTTTTTTGTGGCTTGAAATAGAATTACATCAGGTCTTACTAGGAAGGAATAACGTTGGCCTGTGAAGTCATGTCTTCTGCTAGCAAAGTTATGTTTTGGAGAACTTTTTCATACTCATAAAAACTGTAATTGGAGCCATTTTGTTCTGTTCTGCATATTTTGCTGCGCTTTATGTAAAGATCAGGATTGACTCTGGGTTTTCAGTGGTTATACATTATAAAAATTGGTTAACATGGACAATGTGATATACTGTAGCAGACTGATGTGTCAAAAGGCTCAACTGTGCTGTGGTATAACTTGTGATCTTTTTAGTTTGTTTGTTTTTCTCCAGCCTTTTATTGAATTCATACTTCCCTCAGAGTTAGAAAGTAGATTAAGATTTTATATTTGTGTAAAATGAAAGTTCTTCATGTGTATTTGAATTTAAGAGTAAAGCAGATTTCGATTTTCTTATTTTTTTAAAAGGTCTTGGTATTGGTGGGGGGTTGGAACTAGTTGATCATTAAGATCTCTTCCAACTCTTAACTATTCTATGATATTTACAATGGAAGAAATTGTTGTGATGCAAGGCAGCATCTCTTACTGTGCCAGTCAGGATTGTGGTGTGGGAGAAAGTATGTATTTCACTGTGGGAGAAATAAACATCCTTCAAAGGGACTTAGTACTTCTAATGAAAAAAAAATATGGTGATGAGTGCATGGAGAGTCATGTTGCTGGTACAATAATATTAAGCTTTTTCTTCTGTGTATGAAAACTTGGTCATTTGTTCTTACTCTTCTGTACTCCCATGGGATTTAAATTTCATTTATTGTGGCAAAGTAGTTGGAAATCTGGTCTAAAGAACAGGTAGTTGACTATTACTTACATCTTCAGCATGTCTTTTTCAGATTTAAAGAACCAGAAAGTGCTAGGATCTGTGCTATCATTGGTGATTGATCCTCTTAATCTGTCTGCATTATTTTAGGGGCTTTGTTCTGTGATGGCTGTTGAACATTCCTCTGTAGACAAAATACTTCAGAAAGTTCATTTAAAAAAAAAAAACACACAAAAAAAAACCAAAGAAAAAACCAAAGCCACATTTCTGTCCAATAGTAAATGTGAATGTTCGAGCCTTAGTGCTTTATTCGCTTCAGTTCAAATTATAAACATTTGAGTATTTTGTTTTGTTATGAAGTCTTACATTCTTCATTTTCCCTACATCAAATTGAAAATGCAATAACGTGGAGCAGCTGTCTCTGAAAGAAGTAGCTTTCAGTGATTTATTATATTATTTACCCAAAATATTCTCTCATCCTCTTATTTCCTTCATCTTCAGGAGTATGTGGGAGGAATGACACTCAAAGGTAATAAAACCTTTGAGACAGCCTAATCAGTTAAGTCTATTTAATTACTATTTCGTCTCTAAATTAGAATTCAGATGTAAAGAACTGAAGTTTTAAACTTTGAAACTTTTTTTTCAGGTTCTTAACTTTAAAGAAAAGGGGAATCCTGAGGAATTACTTATGTAGGTCTCAGGTATGTGGGTTTTTCTTTTCCACAATTCTTTTCTGGCTTTCCTTCCCCCAATCCCACTTTATCTATAAATGTTCTCCTTGATGTCCTTACCAATTCTGCTTTAGACAAATAGAATTAGAGAACACATAGTTTTAGTACAGTAACGAATATGGAATCACGTTTACAGTGTTTGTACAAGTCAGGCTCTCCTGGAAATCTTTAATGACTTAGATTCTTACACCTTCACCAAGTCGCTGCTGTCTTCATGAATTAAGTTGTGGTTTGACTGACTGTTAACAGACATATACAAATATCTTACATTTCTGGAAAAAAAAAAAGAGAAACTTACTGATATGACAGTGATGGTTTTGTATGCCTCAGTTTAACAATTGTCACCCATGAGATTGATAATTTAGGAAGTTGAACAAAATTGACCCATCCACTGCAAAGTAGTACCTCTTAAAAGTGGCTGCATGTTGATCCAGTAAACTACTTGCTAACTGAAATTTTTATGTAGAAGGATAACACTGTAAATTTGATTTTGATGTATTCCTTATTTTATACTGTACTAAAGCCTCATGTTATAGAATTCTTTCAGTTAAAAAAATAAGGACATCTCGATTAAAATGTTTATAGATAAAGAGGAGGAAGAAAAGAAAGCAAAGGAATTAGAGAAAAATGCAGTAGCAAGTACCTGAGACCTACTTGTTTTTGAGGATGTCTGATCTTTTATTTTAAGTAAAAATTTGGAAGAGGAAAAAAGAAAACTCCAAAATTGGATATTTGATTTCTTTGAAAACATCTTTTTAGAGACGAACTAGTAAAAAAAAAAAAAGTAAAAAAGAAAAAGGCAGGGGGTGGAGGGGAGACTATCCTGCAGGGTATAGTTGGGTATAGTCATCTTACTGTAAAGTTCCGTGCGCTTTTTACATCAAGAATATTCCAAATCATTCACAGATTCATTGATTGTGTTCAGAAGACCTTTGCAGTGATGGCTGTGGATGGGGCCTGTGTGTTCTGTGTAGGCTGTGGGCGAGTCAGCCCTACCTCAGCTCTGCTTTGGAAGATGCTGAGTTATGTGAAGGTTCTGAGTCTGGGGTGGTGTGTGTCACCTCTCCGCTGGGCTCACCGACGTGACAGATACAACTCCGTGCTTTTCTGGGTTAGCTCCCATTGAGCATTCTGGACTCAGGATAGAGTAGACCTTGCCTGTCTGCCCAGTCTGTGTAGGGGCACCTCTATTATCTAAGTGGTCCTTCTCTGGGTGATACATCACAGTAGAGTTCAGCTGCTGTAACTACTGGCATTCTGTGGTGCAGAGCACTCTATAATCACGGCGTGAGCTAATTAAGTTGTGTGTCTGCTCTCCCTCCTCTTTCAGTTTACAGTAACAGATCAGAGGTGCAATATATTGTAAAGTGCTTCAGTAGTAATGCTGTATAATTGTAATGGCTTCTTACCACGTATTTTGCATAGGAAGTTCCTTGTAACTTAGTAATATATTCTAAATAGGTGGATAAATAACCTGCAGCCACACTTCCAACCTTAGAAACCCTTGAAGGATCATTATGGATTCCAGTGTGTTTTTGCTTTTGTTTACTTGTTCACCAAAGACTTTCTAGGCTGGTGGTCTGAAAGGTGATGAGCCCAGTAGTTTAAATAGGAGTATTTGTATTGTTTTCCTTGGTTTTGTTTAGCAAAATCCCTTATTGCTGATGTAATTATTAGTACCTATTGAGCATTAGTCATAAGAAATCAAGACAAGACAAACAAACCCACCAATAATTATACAGTAGGAAAAGAAGGATTAAAGAATTTCAGTTGTTATCAGTTTGAGTGTAGGTCTCTGCATTTCAGTGGCCTTACCTGTAACGGTGCTGTAAAGCCTGGGTTTCCTGTTGTGTTTGCAGCTGCAGTTTAGATACTGGGTGCAGCAGAGATACTGGGCAGGAGAGGGCAAGCAAATTTTTTCGTAAGGAAAACAAGAAGTAAATAAAATCCCTTAACAAGGTGAGAGCAGTTGAGTGCGTGCGTGGTCTTCCTCAGCTGGGCATCCTCAGTCGTGTAACTTCTCAATCTTCATGTTTAATTCTTTAAAATCCCAAATTCAGGTTTTAACAGAACCATGTTTCCTTTCTGTAAGGAGAAATGAGATATACTGAATAACACCACCAGCATGATTCAGAAGACTTAGCATCACTGTAGAGACAGGGACAAGCAGTCTTGTGAAGTCAAGTAAAAACTACTTAACTCAGATTACCACAGCAGCTCTTTTTTAGCTAGCATTAAGTAATATGGAAATAGTAAAGTTGTATCTGAAGTGTGTGTTCTAAAATTATACAGTCCTGATTTTCTTCCGTTGTGCAGTAACTTTCTGTTAGTGATTCTGCAATAATTTCAAAGTTATTATTTCATTGAGTGCTAGCCAAGGGAATAAATGTGTCCAAAATCTTAAAAAGCAATGTTATTTACCATCTAGTATAATTCTGGAGGGAGTAGTTCCTAAGTCATTAAAATTAATTTTACTTAAAATTCCTTCTGAATCATGCATTTTAAATATTAATGGTATTGTTTCTTGTGGGTGTAGGGTAGATATACCTCTGTTATTTTTTATGGCTCTGAATGTGGGAGTAGAATGACTACAGAATACAAAAATAGATAGAAAGTCTGTCTTTCAAGGAAATTATATTGCTGATGAAAGATTTGGAAGCTTCAGGACATACAGGTCTTAAAGCATCTCCTAGGACAATAGGAGTTTGCAAATATGCTAATGGAAGGAGTCTATAGAGCTGAGACAAAATGACCCCTGAGGAAAGCCTGGCTGAAGAGTGGAGTATGTAGAAAAGAAGTTCCTTTTACAGGATTGTTCTTTTCAGTTGAAAATGGGATTATTGTGACAGTGACGGAGAGAGGTGTATTGAGTTAATGGAATGAGTTTTCAAGAGTCTAATTTTGTTTTCTGTAGGTAAATGCAATTGAAATATTTTATTTTTTTCCAAGTAGAAATGTGATGTCAGTAATGATATTGGCAGGTGGCTCGTGATTGGTTTTTCCAAAAATGGAGCGTGTGGCTCAGTATTTTTTGTCATGTAGAAAAAGACATAAAGGGTTGTGTTTCAATTCTAAAGTTGTAAGAAGATCACTTTATTTGTGGGTAGGTTATCTTAGGTGTCTGGATAGGCATGGGAGCTATCAGCTTAAGAGAGAGAAGCATTGAATCTGTTCTTACATTCTTACACATTGAAACACAAAGCTTGTTAAGAGTAACACTCTGAAAGGTCTGACTAAAAAATATTCCTGTTTTTTGGTGGGCTTTGGTCTTGATGTCTTCTTAAAGAACTTTCCTTGGCCAAGAAGAAAGGGCACAAGCTCTTTCAAGCTTCACTTGGGAAGTCATGCAAGTGTAGTTTCAGTAAAATGTATTTCATACAAAAAACATCTCTTTGAGATCTTAAAAAAATCCAAACCCAAAACCAAACAAAAACCTACAAGTGTGAGATACTGTTTCTTGCCTTATTACCAGGGGTTTGGACTAAACCACTGTGAAGGCTTGACTTCTTAAAATAAAAGCAATAAGCACTTCCTTCGAGGAGTTCTCTTGAGGAACTGGACCCTCCTTAGACATGTTTATTTGTGGGGTTTTTTTTTTTAAATTCTGTTACCATTTCCAAAATAGGATTGAGCTGCAGGGTAGACAGACTTCTACTGATCTCTTAATACTTTTGTTGTTCTGAAGTATTTGGTAGTCCTTTGATGCAAATTGTCTAATAATTATTTCTGTGTAGAAATGATTTCAGTTTGTAGTACCTTGGGTCATCAAATTGGAAGAAGGACAAGCAAAAGTTCAGAACACTTTTGTTTACTTTTTAAGTCTTTTTTTGCTTAGTTGCCTGAGATTATTTTTCTCTTTCAGAATGAACACAGTGATGGAGAAGATGATGGGCAAATGGGAGAGTCTCATATGACAGACTCTGAAAATGAAGATAACCCAAGGCAAAAAGACAGTGACTCAGATAATGAGGAGCCTCCAAATCACAATGGAAGTGATTCAGACAATGAAGTAGCTCATGGAGGGAAAGACAGTGATTCTGATGCTGAGGATCATCCAAATCGGCATTTAAGTGACTCTGAAAATGAAGATGCCTTAAATCATCGAGCAAGTGACTCTGAAAATGGAGAACCCCCCAGAGATCACAGTAGTGATTTTGAAAATGAGGAATCACACAAGCAGCCGGCCAGTGACTCGGAGAGTGAGGAGCTCCAGAAGCCCCAGGCCAGTGACTCGGAGAGTGAGGAGCTCCAGAAGCCCCCGGCCAGTGACTCAGAGAGTGAGGAGCTCCGCAAACGGCCGGCCAGTGACTCAGAGAGTGAGGATGTTTCCAGGCACAAACGAGAAATAGAGTCTGAGGACAGTGATGGGGAGGACAGGAAGGAGGAGGTGCAGAATGATTCTCATCATTCAGATAACAAACGTGTCAGGGAAGGGTTCCAGGGCTCTGACAGTGAAGAGGACGCTCCTAAGAGACGAAAAATATCGGACAGTGATGAAGAAGAGAAAGAGGAGGAGAAGACGGTGAAGAGGAAAGCAGCTATCCTTTCTGACAGTGAGGATGAGAGTGAGAAAACACGTAAGAAATTACAGTCTGAAAATAAAAATGTGGTGTGACAAGCAGTAGTGTTAGAGTTAAATCATTGTTTTTACTTGTAGAAAGCATCTAAGATAAATATGAAGCCATAAAGCAAATTTGTTTTTAGAGCACGACTGCATTTTTGGAGGCTATTGCTCTAACTGCATTTCTGTGTGAATGTATATATAATACTTTTGAGTAATAAGTAGGTCTAACAGAAGTAAAAGAGAAGATTGCAGGGATCTTGCTTTATACTGGCATCTTTTGTCATATGTTATTGCTCTAGTCAGTTTTCCCTCTTTTTTTTTTTTTCATGTACTGGGGGTGAGTGTCAGTTTTGCAATTATAAATTTTTATGTATAGATGTGGGGTATGAAAACTTCAGTTACTGATTGAATAAAACAAGTTTTAGAATGAATGTGTTTTCTATGAAATGGCAATGATTTTGTGTAGGAAGGCTGTTCTGCTTCCCTCTTGTCCAAATTGAATTTAAAAAAATTGGTTTTTGTTCTGCTTCCCTCTTGTCCAAATTGAATTTGAGAGAATTGTTTTTTGAGAGTACAAGTTGTCACCTCTGTTACTAGGACACATAGTAATGCTCCTTTCTGTTGGCAGCTGCAAAAAAAGTACGAATCCTTTCTGATGTCGAAGAATCAGACAGTGATGCTGCTTCAGAGAAGTCTGAGAAAAGGAAGAAAAATATTGTATCAGATAGTGAGGAAGAAGAAGAAGAAAGAAAAGAGAATGCTGGGAAGAAAAAAGAAGAGAAAGATCTGTTTGGCAGTGACAGTGAATCTGGAAATGAACAAGAGTAAGTGCTTCTGGCAATGCGAGTTCCTTCAGGGTTGCAAATAGTGAGACTGATGGTGAATGGAGGATGAATGAATCCTGGTCAGAGAGTGATTGTCCACCTTCAGTGGTGGTGTGAAGGGAAGGTCAGTAGTAGGAGGCAGAATGGAAGGTGGATCTCCACATAGTCAGGAGACATTTTGCAGAAAATGCGTTTCTCACTGCTGCAGTCTGAACAGATCAATGTTACTGTTACCTTCACAGGAACCTGATTGCAGATATATTTGGAGAATCTGGTGATGAGGAAGAAGAGGAATTTACAGTAAGTGTTATTATGGATGTCTCTTGTTCACTTGCTAGATCTAATCTTCATGGGGAGGTCCTCCAGAATGACTCTCTTGGTTTGAACTCATTCAAGGATATGCTGTAGCAGGAGGGAAGCTTTGTATTTGGTGGGCTCACTGAGGTGTCTTTGGGTTAAATAACATTTACAGCTCTTCTGTTGGGAAAGGATTGGTGTGAAAGTCACAGGTGGAACTAGGAAGCCTTTGTTCATCTTTCTTCTAGATCCTCTGCAGACTGATCTAGAGCTTTGCAAGTGTTGGGTGCCTGAGTAGATGCTGAGTCTTAATCCGTACACTGATTTTCGCTGTCTTTACCCATCAGGGTTTTAACCAGGAAGATCTGGAGGAAGAGAAAGGTGATGGAGACACAAAGGAGACGGCAGATGAATCGGACTCTGATGATAACATCAAAAGAGGGAAGCAGTAAGTCAGTGTGTTACACACTCCTTTGTTAATAGCAAACACGAGATATTAGTGACAGGGTTCCTCCAAAGACTGAAGGGCTCCTCTAAACTTCTTGGTTGAGAAGGGCACGGAACTATGTTTCTACAGAAAGTTTGTCCTCGTAAACTGCGACAGAAGGTCCTGTCTCAGCTTGTACGGTTCAGTCACTTGACAGTCCATAGAGGTTACCTATGCTGCTTCAAAGAACAGTATTTCATGGTTTGCATCAAAACCTGAGAGAAATTAATATCTAAGCAAACAAACATGTAACTCTCATTTTAGCGGTTCAGCATTGGAGTCACAGGTGTGTTTCTCTGCTGGTGTAAGGGACTTGCCATCAGCATGGCTTCTTTCTGCCTGCTCTGGTAGCATCAGAGCAGTGTCTTGAAGGTACAGGCAAGCTAAATCCTTGCCTGTTTCAGTGACAACTTTAGCACATTTTAAACCCTGGATATGACATGTGCATGTACAGGCAAGCTAAATCCTTGCCTGTTTCAATGACAACTGTAGCACATTTTAAACCCTGGATATGACATATGTGCACGTTGTTGGCTATTTCTGCAAGGTCTTCTAGACTTCTGAGGGCACCTCTGAGCCACTCAAGCCCTTTGCTAGTTTCCCAGTTTGTGTAATGAGGGTAAATAATTATTTTACAGGCATGTTGAGGCATAATTCTTACAGATTTATTGAAGAATTTTTGAAAGGTTATGCTACAGAAATAAAAAATCATTTCCTACAAAGACAGTAAGATTGACCTTCTTCAGCAAACTCTCTTCTTGCATTTCAGCATGGACTTCATGTCAGATTTTGACATGATGCTGCAACGAAAGAAGAGTATGAGTGGCAAGCGTAGACGAAACCGCGATGGTGGAACTTTTATTAGTGATGCAGATGATGTGGTCAGTGCTATGATTGTGAAGATGAATGAAGCTGCTGAGGTGAGTTTTCTAGGCTCCAGAGCCCAGTTCCATTCCATGGGAGAATCTTGTGATAAGTAAAATACAGAAATCTGGTACTCGGGAGTAATCTGTGCACTATGGAAAGCTTCCAGTATCTAAATAACTGTTTAAATGCTGTTCTGAATTAGAAACATTTATTCCGTTAAAATTTGGAGAAAATACTCATTTTAGAGATTAAAATTAGTTGACTTGGTAAACCTTGATCAGCTGAGATCAACTGTCCTATAAAAAGGCATAAATATGTGTTCTATAAAATATATAAAGAAGTATGTGAAACACTGAGAAATGTTTTCATTTCATCATACAATTACTAGCATATGTAATACTTGAGCGTTTGTTCCTGAGAATAACCCTTTTCTAAAGTGGTTGAGTGACAATACTGCAGTCTAAATGATGGTAGAGCAAGAAAATTATGGGAAGTTCTGCCTTGGCAGACTGCCTTTTTCAAGGAGTTATTTTTAATACGTTACTGTTCAAGGTTTATTGGTGTCTGGTCTTTTGTCAGGCATATTCTGTTGTGATTACAGTTTTGTTGCAGTAGCAATAAAATGAAAGCTCTGCAAAGCTCATTAAAACTGTTTAGGGGGAATACACAGGGAACTTCAGAAAGAGGAATCTTATAAATAACAACAACAAATAATCTTCCTGAGAAAAAGATAAGAAGGATAATGTGCTTGGGGAGGAAGGGGAGAGTGAGAGTGATCTGGGAGACAACTGAGACTTTGCCCATCTCTGAGATGATTGTCAAATGTTTCAAATGAAGCCATGAAGTATGGAATGCTTTTTTGAAAGTAGGAAGAGCTGAGCTCCAGTACTGTGGTGTCTTTAGTTCTCTAGCATGTGCCTGTCAAACCATTTTGGGGCATGCAGAGGGGCAGAAGGACATTAGAAGTATCTCCTCCTTCGCAATAAAAAAAACATTGCGCAGAAGGAGAACAGTTAACACGGTCGTGACGTTATGGCCTTGGCTGATGGTCACTCTGAAACCCAGACTTTGTGCACATTTATGTGCTGTTAATCTACTTCATCCAAAAGCTCAAGGTTATCCAGTTACGTTCTTAGATTAAATTAATATGTATATTCTCACTTCTTGTTCTTTTGCTTAGCTATTTTTCCTGTTGTTCAGGTGGGATTTTACTAGCAAAGTTTCTAACACTTCTTGTTCTTTTGCTTAGCTATTTTTCTGTTATTTAGGTGAGATTTTACTAGCAAAGTTTCTAGGTTACCTATGCACAGTTAGCATGGAGGACTCTGCAAATCTCCAGTTTATTGCAATAGGCCTTAATCATGAAATAGAAAAACATGTATCGTTGGGGGGAATCTCCTAATAATATGCCTTTAAGGCATCATATGTTGGCTAAGGTGGGGGAATGCTTCTTTAAGGGAATTCATTATATAATATGTTTTGGGGCTGTAAGAAGATGGAGCAGGGTACAAAGTTAGTGTAACCCTGCCAAAGTTGTACTTCTTGTTTAATAAACGGAGTTTTTCCTGTAAATGTTGTAAGGGGTGAGAGTTGCTGATTTCTTCTTTTGATTAACTTGCACTTCTTCAACTCCCTACAGGAGGATCGACAGCTGAATACACAAAAGAAACCAGCACTAAAGAAATTAACTTTGCTACCAACTGTAGTTATGCATCTTAAAAAGTGAGTTGTCGTTCTCCCAGTTAATTATCACCTTGGGGATAATTGGGGATTTGGTAGATTTTATGGGGTGACATTACAGTGGCACTGAGTATGCAGTGAAACACTTCTTTCGTCCAAGTAAATGCTGGAGTTGGGTGGCGTCAAAACCCTAAAATTCTACCTAATTTTACCTGTTAATTTACATGAAACAAATTCAAATGCACTGTTGTGCTCAAGGAGCATCACATTTTAAGATTTTGATTATAACTTTGTGGCTTCTCTTTCCTTTAAACTTTCTAGGCAGGACCTCAAAGAAACTTTCATCGATAGTGGTGTTATGTCTGCCATCAAAGAGTGGCTTTCTCCTCTCCCAGACCGAAGTCTGCCAGCACTAAAGATACGAGAGGAGCTGCTGAAGATCCTGCAAGAGGTTTGAAACTTGGCACTTAACTATATTTGTTTTGTGGCTTCTCTGTGGTTTTACCAGCCACGTGCTTTAGGGACACGTTTGGTGTTAAATGTACTGGAGGCTGCTACCAATGGACCATGCAGTGAAATACAGGAGGACACAAACTGCAAAATAGATGTATTTGTTTAAAAGTTGTGTTGTTTTAATGAGTCTTATGCTATTGATGTGCTCTCTAGTTGAACAAAATTTGGGGAACTTCAGGAACTTAATTGTTAGAAAAATTGTGCCCATGTTCACAACAAAGCGAATAGCTCTGCCAGCAGCAGGCCAGGAGGCATTTCTGAGTCTCAGGTGTGAACTACACACATGAAGTTATCTACCCTCTCTCGGGGAGTTATGTGCTATGGTATTTCTAGATTATTGATAAATCTAAACTGCTTCATCACTGAATGGCTCACACATGGTGATTGGTCACTTTAATTTGTCTTCGCTGCATTCGTAAAATAAGTGGGGCATAGTCTTGATAGTGAAGTGCAATTTTTCTTGCAGCCCTGCTGGCTTTATTTGACTGAGGCTCTAGAAATATTTCTCCTTGCTAAGAATTTGCAAGAGTTCTGCCTGAATTTAGGATATTTGGCCTTGCCTTGCCTGCCTGTTGATGTGCAAAGTGTCCAGTTCCCTGTTGGGCTGGCTGTTCACGGTTGGTTTAGTGCAGAGTCATTTGCTACGTGTCCCTGAGTTTTGCTCTCCAAGGGTCTTTTCTCTTTTCTGGCCTGTTAAAGTGTTCAGGGCACCAGAAAGTCCACCATACTAAGTGTAGACTTTCAGCATTTGAGCTGATTATGTGGATGCTTTTGCCACGTAAGATTTTATCTTTATAAAATAAATGCTTTGAAGTAACTCAGCTCTTGAGCAATTTTTATCTTTATAAAATAAATGCTTTGAAGGCAGTAACTCAGCTCTTGAGCATTATAAGCAAAAAAGCATTTGGAGTAAATAGTTCTGGAAACTTAATTTTGTGTATAAAACCCAAGAATATTAAGGGAAGCTTGTAGTTTCTGATGCTTGATACTTTAGCCAGTTCCTAGTAGGACAATGAAAAGTACTATTTTTTTCAAGCTTATTGAGAAGGTGGGTTTTGGCCTTTTTGCAAAGTTCAGTGACACCATTTCTTGCTATTTTCTGACTTTTCCTTTATCCTGCAGCTGCCCAGCGTGAGCCAAGAGACCCTGAAGCACAGTGGCATTGGACGGGCTGTGATGTACCTCTACAAACACCCCAAAGAGTCGAGACCCAACAAGGACATGGCAGGGAAGCTAATCAGTATGTAAACATGCCTTTGCCTTGTGTCAGTGAGATTGCACTGGAAAAATTTAATTTGCATCAGTCTTTCTGTTGTGTGTTTTTTGCTCTGGCTGTAGTAGAATTAATTCTGGGAAGTCAGAATCTCACTAACCTGCTTCATCACTTTGTAGAGCTCTTAACAAGTGCTGTTAGATGAATTTCTGCATACACATTTCCCTGCTTCTTTCATTCTTGTTCTAAAGGCATTTATTTTGCCCAAATCCTTTCTTGTCTAGTTGTCCACACCTCATGTATATGCTACCAAAAGACTATTCCACGGACTTCAGAGAGATTCTGGATGACCAAAAGTTTACTTCTTAGACAGCTGTAGTCTTAGATGCAGTGCGTTCCAAACTGATTATAAACTTGTTTGGTTCTTTAGGAACTATTTTGCACATTTCTAAGATATGATCTGCAGGAGTTCCTGATGCTTAGTATTCTAAGAGCTGAGGGAGATTCTAAAAGAGCAGGCAACAGCACTGAAGAGACTTTATGGATGAAAGCTCTTTCTTACTGTCCACAAGGCTGGATTTCTCCGAATTAATAAGAATTCCAAAATAATTTATTTGGTTGAAATGAAGCATAAATACTTGCCATAAACTTTGAAAGCTGTATTTGGTCACCAGAATGGTTTGGAGCTAAACTACAGATGCCTAGTGTTTGTTAACTAATTTGTTTATTTTTTTTTAATAGATGAATGGTCTCGACCCATCTTTGGCCTTACCTCAAACTACAAAGGCATGACAAGAGAAGAGAGGGAACAGAGGGATTTGGAACAGATGCCTCAGCGAAGGAGATTGAGCAGGTAGGAGCAGCAGGCAGAAATGTGAAATCCTTCTGTCTTTCTAAGACTCCATTGAGGAAGAACAAAGTGGTGTGGAAATAAAAGGTTACTTAGTTCTGACCTCTCTCTTTTGCCACACTTAAATGTCTTTTAAAAGTACCATCTTTCCTGTGCCTATAAAATTTTATTTTCTTGCAGCTCTGGTGGTCAGACTCCCCGCAGGGACCTGGAGAAGGTGTTAACTGGAGAGGAAAAGTAGGTTGGATTGTTTTTTTCCCAATTTTTATTAGGAAAAAAAGTATTTAATGTTACTAACAATATTGCAATTTATTTTTGAAGGTTTAGAGGCAACAGTTATGCCTCTTGGAAAACTCTCCTTGTATTCTCTCATGTCTGTACTGTGACGTAAAAGGGAACTTGTACAGGAAAAAACAGGCTGTAGCCTCTGTGCTGCAGAGGCAGAACACCCTCCATTGCTCGTGCTACTTCCTGTACAGGATTTGTCTCCCAACAGTTGCATCTTTTCTTCTGCAGGGCTCTTAGGCCCGGAGACCCCGGGTTCTGTGCCCGCGCGAGGGTGCCAATGCCCTCCAACAAGGACTACGTGGTGAGGCCCAAGTGGAACGTGGAGATGGAGTCCTCCAGGGTAAGCTGTGCGTGTGGGGATGGCTGAGGGGCTCTGCCCAAGCTGTCTCTGGGAAGCTGTCACCTTTCTGCTGTCCTTACTGTACAATACCGTGGTTCTTCTAAGAATCTCTTCTAATTTGAGTAGACATTAAGTTCCGCTGTCAAGTGGGCTGCTTTAAGCTCATCAAATACTTTCCCTTAGGTATTGTTTCTTCTCTTACCAAAAAGAGATATTCACGTTAACTCTTCTAGAGTTTCTCTCTAGGGTAAAGGCCTCTTATTTAGAGCATTTTTGAACTAAAGCCCTGCAATTCAATAAGTATGTCGCTGCTGTTTTTACCCCTCTCCCAGTTTTTGTATCATGTTCTTCTGATAATAATCCGGTTTGGGAAAATGTCAAGGTTTTGGTAAACATTAACAGTGTGAGTAGAGGCCTTTGCCTTGCTTTATTTGGTTCATCCCTCTACCTTGTACAGTTTAATTTAAAAGCGGAGTACATGGTAGAACACGTGTAAATGGAAGAAGTAATAATTACTGTGCTTTCTGCTGTTATCTCTCCTTCTGTGCATTAATTGAGATATTGTTTCTAGCCCGGGACTATTAAGAGAGGTATTAGTCGCTTGGAAAAACACAAGAGACGGTTTGCTGAACAGAAACGACTCAGCAAAGTGCATCGGGCCATCAAGTTCAGCATTGAAGGCAACAGGATGCCCCTGTAGCCATGACACTCTGCCTTCCCCAAGTTTGAGAGGTATCCCTCAAGGGAGGTGTGAACAGTGCATGTGCTTCAGCTGTCGGCAGTTTGCACATACAGGAAAGGAGTGTGCACACCCTAACTTAAACTTGGAAACTCTCCTTGTATTCTCTCGTGTCTGTACTGTGACCTAAAAGGGAACTTGTACAGGAAAAAAATAGGCTGTAGCACCTAACTTCTGCCACGATACCTGCCTCGACAGCTTCAGGGTACCCAGATGACAGGTATTAATTGAAAATACCTGTACTCAAAAATAGCTTTGTACCACCTGTGGGTTTGAATGCTGTTGTGACTTAATTGGGTTCTATAGGTTTACCTGAACTGACACACAGGAGCTGTTAGCCCTTAATAGAGGACCTCATGTCTCTGTATGCTCACATCTCTGGCTGATGTTTCACTGGTACAAAGTAAGGTTTTTTTCACACCCACTTTTTGGAGAAGTTGAGTGGTGTGAGACTTGACAGGAGGCAGAGAATGAGCCCTCTGCAGAGCAGGGGGAGGAGAATCCCTGGCTGTGAATCCAGGGGGGAGGGAGGTTGATCAATGACATCCATCAACATGGGAAGTGTTGTGACAGTTTCTGGTCTGCCTTTCAGTTCCGTGAGCAGGGATTGCCACAAACCAATAGTGATAGGAAGAGGTTAGCACAAATGGTAGAGAACTGTTGAGTTTAACCTTCGTATTTATTTGTTTTAAAAAAAATAATATATTTTTTACAATCACTGTGAAATTCCAGATATAATTTCAATGACTAGTGAATAGTTTTATGAATGAAGTTTATTTAAAATCAGTGTGACAGGAGCACCTTCCTCAGTGACGGGAACAAGAGGTTCAGTTTCTGATAGATGGTTTTTTGTCAGATATTAAGTAGCATGTTCTGGATAAACTGTTTGTTTCTCCCAGACTTTAAAGGTGTGGAGTTTCCATCCTTTATTGTTTCTGTTCTCTGGTTAGGGGAAATTGCTTTCTAGGAAGTAACGGCTATGGATTGGAAGGTCCTTGCTGTTTGTCTCGAGTGTTGTTTCTTTACAGAATCACTGTATTTTATCTGTGCAAAATAACTGCTGTGTCATCTCAGTTTTCTTTAATTTGCAGTTAAAATACAGAGATGAAAGTAGCTCCTCTAATAATTTGGATGGTCAGCTTAGGCATTTCTTTTGCTCCCTGCTACACCACTTTTTTTCCTCTTGCTTTATAAGTACTAATTAGTGACCTTGAAAATAAATAGTGGTTTGGCATTGATCTGTCAACAAAATCCACCTCAATTACTGTGCATTTGTATCTAAAACTCTTCCCCCTGCAGGAAGCCTGTATTTATGACACTGTATTTTGACACTTCAGCCAATAGAGACACAAAACTATTCCAGACTGTACATTCAGCTGGCACGTAAACAACTAACACCCTTACTAATCCCTGTAAGGTGAAAGCTTTCCTGTGTGGTGGTTGTGAGCACGACCACCTCCATGTATGTGATGCATACGTTGGGGGAACCTTTTTATCCACTTTGTGGGGAGAGAATGCGTGCATGTAGACACACACAGGTGCACACACACACACACACACAAAAACCAGCTGGAACCAGTGGCTTCATCACCTCCCTCCTGCAGGTTTAACCTTGCATGCGTTGCTTTTCTTGAACCTCTGGGACGTCTGCTTTTTTTCAGTGGTAATTATTAGTTTTATTTTTTAAGTTCCAGGGGACCTCTAAGAAAGGGGTGAGTCGACTGGACAAACAGATGCGGAAATTCACAGATATCAGGAAAAAAAGCAGATCGGCCCATGCAGTGAAAATCAGCATTGAGGGCAATAAGATGCCATTGTGACCCTTCACAGAATACCCCATGATCTCTGCTGTAAGACAATACACCCATAGACTCTTTGGAGACCTTTAAATTTTTTAACAACTTGTTTGGGGTTTTTTTTTTTTTTTTTAGTGATTTTGAAATTGTTGGTTCAGGTTCTGGTATGAGATGTTGTCCGAGGACTGTGAATATGGGGACTTCTTTCTCCTGATTGTATTTAAACTTGCTCTATTGTGTCCTTTGTACAGATCACTTATTTGTTGTATTGCAACACTTTAGACAATAAAACATCTTCTGTTTTTTGGGGGGCTGTCTGTTGATTGCTCAAGAGAGTGTATCTGCAGACCACCTGGTACGTGGAAAAGCTGCTAACTGTTAATTTTCTGTTTACCATTGTCCATTTCCTCTTTATTCAGTGCTTTTTTAATATTAACCAGTTGTTTTGTCTTTGGGAATGTACATATACTGGTTTTCATAAGAAACAGTGACCATCTCCACTCGAAGGAGTTCATTTTTCATGAAAGCCTGGTGGAAAGTTCAAGAGAAGACCAGCAGACCGACCACGCTCCCAGCTGAAATGCCTGGTGTAGGACAGAGGGAGGTATTTCACTTCTATCCATCCTCTGGCAAACGGCAAAGCCTTCAACCCTGACAGCTGCTGGAAAACAAAGGGCTTTTCTGCGATGATAGATCATTTTTAAAGTGAGCCAGACTCTGGAATGGAGGTGAGTGAGGCTGCTCGGGGAGCCTGAGTGTCGATGGCTGGGCACGTCCTTTTGGCCCATCTAGTCCTTTAGGCTGTCCTAGCTGGGCCTTTGCTGCAGGGACAGCCTTTTGGAGAGTTGAAAACCATGTGAATTCTTTTGCTTTGCTTTTGGTCTTTGGGTGATTGAAATGTGTGTTGCTCTGTAGCCCACTAGTGATGTTCTGACAGGTTAATGGTAACCAGGGTCCTGTCTTTGTGTTAGGGGCATAACATGGCTGTTTCTTTGTCCCTGGTGCTACAACCAGACAGCAGAGCAACACTTTGTACCTCTGCTTCTTTACCTCTCCCCCTTAAAATGTCATCTGAGCTTGCCTACGTGAGGGGGACTCTTCTTGCAGGTGGGATCTTGGTAAGGACGTCACCTTCATTCCAGAGGAGCACAGCCCTGTTTGTTGGGATGTGTTCTGCAATTCTGGGAATTCTTTGCGGTAGGGATCTTGGAGGCACACAGTACCTCTGGCAGCTGATGGCGTTAAGTATGTGGCTGGTCACATTTCAAATATGCTCCTGTGAGGCTGCAGGGATCTGTGATTGATAGTAATAAATAAAGCTGAATGCTGGGACACAAATTGGAACTGGAGGAGGAGGCCTGTGCTGGATGGAGCCTGCTGAAGGAATTCTGCTCGATGCTGGGACACAAATTGGAACTGGAGGAGGCCCGTGCTGGATGGAGCCTGCTGAAGGAAGTCTGCTCATAGGACCACTTCACCCGCTGTTGGCAGGTACACCTGTGACACAGTAACACACCTCAGGGGGGTGTTTTTACCATGTTGGGAGTTTCAAGGGCTTTGGAATGGTAAGAACAGAGTTTTACAAGGCATTGAACAAAGCTGAGGGAGAAAACCTCTCATCAGTGTATTCAAATGAAAAAAAATGTATAGTGCATTGTAAGAAAGGTCACAAAAATCAACACTTCTTTTGATACAGGTCACAAAGACCAACTCTGTTGCAGCAGAAAAGCAACTGAGAAAAGCAAGGCTTTGAAGAGTCTCAAAGGGGTAATTAATTAGGGGTTAGTGTTCTGGCCCATGTGTATTTTATTTCACCTACCTTTTTGGCATAAAGCACTTAAGTACGTGATGCTGCTTAAGCTCTGTGGGGGAATCAGCCTCTTAAGGAGGGCTGGGTGCATTCAGTCAGTCTGCCTGTGGTTTAGGGTGATAAAAAGGTGTTTCTTGGGGAGGTGTGTTGGCTTTTTCCCATTGTGTCTGTTCAAAGATATTTCATGTCTGAATTACTGGTTTTCACCAAAGCCTGGGTGAGGAAAATTGTGTACGTGAGGGGGTGCAGGGCATCTTCAGAATAAGGGAGAAGGGGTTCTTGGGGAAAAAA